CTAACGGAACTCTACTTGTGTACTGGAAATCGTTCTGGAAGTAAATTAATCATAAACCAGGTGCGTCAGGCGAACTGAAAATGACCATTTGTTACAAGTATAACCCGAAAGCGAGATCATTTAAGAACTGTTTAGAGGGTAAATTTTTTTGCAAGGAAGAACCGACCACATTTTTAACGAAAATTTGTCATTTTACTTGGATTACTATATTCTGAGCATACACATTCATTCTGTTATGTCACATTTATAGACTGGAAATCACACATTCTAATGATTACAGTCCATTTCATACTGCTAGACTGGTTTGTATTATTATGGCACTAAGTTTTATGCACAGGTTTTTTCGAAACTTTGATATTATAGGCTAACACAACCAATTTCAGTGAACAAATAGAACTTACTGATATTTAACAGTGAGAATTCGAATATTTAACCAAGTCTTCCAGTTACTTTTGATAGTTACAGCAACTAGTTCATTACTTATATATATATTTCATATATATAACATATATTTCAAGGCTGTTGTTGTGCAAAACTATCGTGTGTAGACTCAGTGGTTGTAACACCTAGCAGATCAGAGCATCAAAAAATTAGAATAAGAAGTTCGAGCAAATGAGCCAGTGTGCTGAAACTGACAGCACTATGACAAGCTTTAAATAATCGCTGAAATAATTATTATCTAGTTCATGAATCTATTAATTGTTGTATTCCTATATCATTCATACAATGTCCAGTATTCATATCTTTGTAAAGTTATGGTAGTCAATATACAACTTGTTAATGAATGGAATTATATACTTATTTTGGAGTACGACCTCTGATCAAGTATGTGGCTATTAAATGCACTAGTCCAGTTCTATTGGTTAACTCATGCTCATATGTAAAATTAATTTGGATCTCCGTATCAATCCATCCATTCATCTATTTATTTATTTGTCTACCCACCTCTTGATCGTATTCCTTCATTATATTGATGCTCAAATACTTTAGACGCTCTGAACAGTAAGGGGTAACACCCAGAAATTGGAGTCACAACAAGGCAGAACGGACTGTAGACACAACGTCTACTCCTTAAGAGTTGTCAAATGCTGGAATTCGCTGCCGACTGAACTAGTCCAAGCGACTTCACAGGAGTCCTTTAAGATGAACCTTGACCTATTCTTAAAGACTAAGGATAACCTATCATGATTTATCAATTTCTTTTCTCCCTCTATTATCGTAAATATACCTAGATTCCTGCCTAGAGGTATTGGTGATCCCCTGCTACTAGACACGGAAGCCTGTTAAGCGAAAGCTTCTTCGATTCCGTCCACAACCATTTGAACCATTCATTTCAATGCAGTGCAAACTAGACCAATCTAATACAGTTCTGAGTTTATTGAATTACAATACAACTTTTGGTCATTCTATTGGCAATGTCAAAATAAATCCAGTTCAATAACAAAAAGGTTTAATTCTAGTGGTAGTCTGATGCTACTATTATTCCAGCCCATTCCTATCCATCCAATCCGTTTATGCTTCAGATGTTTATTACCACTGTATTTGCTAGCGGTTTTAATTACCAAAAAACATATTCAAGAACATTTGTACTCTAGTCTTTACTTATTCCACTCGTCCTTGGTCATCAGTCATGAAGATAACGATCATAGTGCTAGTGTTGATCAGCCAATTATTCCATGTTAGTTTCTTTGTGTTACAGTATGGTCCCAGGTCGTTGGTATAGTCCTACCTGGTTATATGGTACTTGCTAGGTTACAGTAGCACCAATAACCCAAAATAATCATATTCCTTTACATTCAAAGCAACTTCATCTTGTAGTAATTGCCAATATTTTAATGATTGTTCAAGATCAGTGGCAAGAATACCAACATTGGACATTTCCAAAAGCCTGGTACCATATTGTAGCACAAAGAAACTGGTATAGTGTAATCGTTTAGTCTACACTAACTGGTCACAAATATATTGGGTAAAGACGTAAGTGAGTAAAAGTACCAGGTAATGGACAGAGATGATAAGGTTTCAGGTAGCACAGGCAGGTTAATGCTCATGAAAAATAACATTAATGGATGAAGTGCGAGACATAGTCCAGGTATGTTAATAAATCCTTGTTGCTCTGAGGACACGATAAATATAGAATTCAATCGAGATCGCAGAGAGTGATTTCCTGGGCCTACCAACTCGGCAAACCTTATATAGGTAGACTACCTGTCCATTCACGTAAGGCTTACACAGACAAACAGGAAGAAACTCACGCGTTTCAAATTGAAAGCATAAACTGCTTATACATGAACGCCGCGAGTCTACCAAACAAAATGGATAAGCTACGTGAACTTATCAATGCTACTAATGCTCATCTGATAGGTATATATTAATCTTGGATATCTTCTCAGTTCTATGACCAGGGGCTAGCAATACCTGGGATGTCTTTGTTTCGCAACGACAGAAAAATAGGAATTGGGGGCGGATTAGCCGTACACATACGATCTTGATTGGACGTACACCAAGTTCATAACCTCCAGTTTAACAATCTTGAGGAATCCATATGGTGCTCTGTAGGATTGTCTACTACTTCAAGGTGCCTAGTGGGAGTCATATATAGGAAGCCCATTGCGGACATCGAGTATGACAGTCGTATGCTGGAAGGACTATCCCGCTCTACGCGTTCGGATTCACTCATATCCTGATTCTAGGGGAATTAAATCTCCCAGAGTCAATTTCGCGGAACATACATATATTGGTGGTGAAAACTCAACTGATGCTCGGTTCTTCAACCTCATTGAAGATTTGGGATTATACGAAAATGTGAAGTTGGCAACTCATTGGAGAAACAGTCAGACACCGTCGCGCTTAGACTGTGTATTTACAAACGAAGAATTTCTAGTTGACAACCTCTCAATCCTGGCTCCCCTGGGGAAAAGCGATCACGTCGTTATAGCCTTCAGTTTTGTAGGCAGAAGTGAGATAAGATATCCCACCAACAACGTGCGCTGGAATTTCATACTGTTGAATGTGTCAGCTCTACAGGACTATCTACAACAGGTGGATTGGTATATTCACTCGCAATTCGATGTGGATACTCATTAGGACTTCTTGTTCCACACGATCGTATGTGCTACAAAGCAGTCAGTTCCTCGAACGGCCCCCAAAAGTTTCAAGCAACCTACAATCATCAAGAACCACACTCTTCGCCTATTAAGCCGCAAAAGGCACTGTTGGGCAGAATACAAACGAACTGACAACAATGGAGCGTGCAGGCAATACAAACATATAAGGAACATATGCACGAAGGCTATAAGAGAAGATAGGCTTCAGTACCAGGCAAAGCTTATGGATAAATTTGTCTCCAATCCGAAAGCTAATTCCGTTATGCAGCCTCTCTTCGTCAAGCAAAAAATGGAGTTTCCCAACTGCTAGGTTTTAACGGCCAGACCAATAACGACGGCGACGCCACAAACCTTTGGATGAACAATACTCTTTGACATTTCGACCGACCCACATCAACTATACTGATGACAGCTTCATTTGCAACTGCACAGGACTTTTCGTATTGACCTGAGAGCTGACTTCGTGGTCCGGAAACTGCAGCACATAAGAAAAGACATTTCTCCTGGCCCAGATATGGTCCATTGTGATATACTGGGGGAAGCAGCCTCAGTCCTGGCAACGCCGCTTAGCGTGATGTTTCTACACTCACTAAGCCGGGGCAAACTATCACACCAATTTCCAAAGGTGGTCGACGCAGCGAACCTTCAAAAGCATTTGATAGGGTTAACAATATATGTCATATCAATAAGCTGAAACGATTGGGTATCAGACCACCTCTAATTGATTGGTTCACTTCATACTTGAAAAATCGACATTTTAAGATCAGTGTTAACTTCACTTTCTTTCAGGCTATGGAATGTCCTAGTGGGGTCGTCTAGGGTTCAGTACCAGGACCTCTTCTCTTCTTGATTTATATAAATGATCTTCCTCGACAGGTAACGTCAGACTTATTACGTTTTGCTGGCGACGTGGACCTCGGAGAGGGATACACAACCAAGACGATATACACGCACTTCAGGAGGATCTGACTCCACTTCAAAGTTGGGCAGACAATAACGGACTTAACTTTAACACTTCAAAGTGTGAAGTTGTCCATCTGCGACATGTCGCAGACTATAGTTGCAACTTAGGAAACTCCTCTCTAGTAGTATCCCGAGTCGAAAAAGATTTAGAAGTCCTGATGCCCTACGATTTAAAGTCTTACAATAACTGTGACAAAAATGCCTTTCGAGCAAACCTCGCACTGGTAACATTGAAGCTCATTTTTGGCCAGTTTAACGGATGAAATTTCCATATAATCTTCAGCAGTTTTATCCGTCCCCACTTAGAGTATGGAAACATAGTCTTTCCTTCCTCACTCCAAGAGGATAAGGACACTCCAACGGCGAGCCACGAAGTCAGTTCGGAGACTCAAATTTAAACCTTGTGAAGAGCGCCTCCAATCACTTAACCTTTACCCATTAGAGTACAGGCGTCTTAGAGGTGACCTCCTGATGTCTTACAGTATCCTTAACACTTCCGGAAATCCTCTTATACAATTACTTAAGCTTAATCCCAGTATCAACCTATGGGGTAACACCCAGAAATTGGAGTCACAACAAGGCAGAACGGACTGTAGACACAACGTCTACTCCTTAAGAGTTGTCAAATGCTGGAATTCGCTGCCGACTGAACTAGTCCAAGCGACTTCACAGGAGTCCTTTAAGATGAACCTTGACCTATTCTTAAAGACTAAGGATAACCTATCATGATTTATCAATTTCTTTTCTCCCTCTATTATCGTAAATATACCTAGATTCCTGCCTAGAGGTATTGGTGATCCCCTGCTACTAGACACGGAAGCCTGTTAAGCGAAAGCTTCTTCGATTCCGTCCACAACCATGTGAACCATTTGAGTTATTTTACAGTAAAGTTTGGGGTTTGGTTCATTTAACATCGGAGGTTGTTACGTACAGAGCGTTACGACAATGAAGCGACGGGTGGTTTTCAGTGAGTCGGATTCAGGTAATGTTCAGTCCGTTTATATTCAAAAAAGATGATGAAATTAAGAACAAGGAAAAGCCGACAGTAAAACAAAGTACGAAACGATATTCCGAGAAGAAAGGAAATACACAGACGTCGATGGTATTAAATTACTTCCTTATAAAGCCCCTAGATAATCAAATATCCTGCCGTGATAACTCCCAGCAGTCAATAATCGACGCTTTACGACGACAGCAAGAGTTATGCAAAATCAATCGTGGCAAGAAAGCAAATACTATTGAAGCGTACTTCTCACAGTCTGTGAAACCCAAGAAGAATGTAGTTTCCGTTGATGATTTCTTCGGACCATCTGGAACAAAATCGAATGCTAAGGTGAGCTTTTAAATAATACGAATTTTTTGGTCCTTATCAACTCATTACTACAAATGTTTGTTAGGGAAATTGTACGATATTATTCTTCGTCGCCGTTCAATAGGTAATGGTAAAAATACTCAGTCTATCCAAACATGTTTATGAAGGTTTATTTGTATATTTTGTGCCAATTTTCTGCTTTGATATAATCATCAACCAGTTGATTTGATATTATTTAACTGTGGGATGAACCAATTGGGTTTCAAATTGCATCTTTTAAACTCTTGCGTGAAATCTTTTCATCTGTATGGGCTTATAAGTTCATTGCATTAAAGTAGGCTTCGGTTTTTTGGTCAAAATACTAACCCTGGTTTATTACCCTGCCCCTAACCCTAAATCCTAGTTTTAATCTCCAACATTAATTCCTAACCGTATCTTGAAACGGGTAAATGGTTGAAATTTCGCAGTGCGATTTCGAGAATTGCTTATATTCGCTCCAACACTGTTTCGAGTGAGAGATTCCTACTATTCAAGGTTGCTAAATATTTCTGTACCTATTGCGTGGTTACTTCCTGACCTTTGTCTTCAAAGTAATTGTACCCTGTCATAAGTAACTTAAAACAGCTTACAACACTCCACATTTGTAAAGGTGCATTACATCATGAACGTGTTATTATCTTCTTGCATATTGTTTTTGCATTTTTGCTTCCTTTCTCATCTATATTTTGGCACCAAGTTTCTAAATAACAAATATTTACTCCATGCTCTGTTGTTTTTGCATCTTTTCATCTGTTACTACAACTGACTGGCTAACTAATCACTTTTTATTTATCGATTTATTTATTTATTCAAACACAAATATTGGCACAAGAGGGCACCAAATATATATATATATATATATATATATAATTCCTACTCACTGACTTTTCGTGGCGGGGGTGTTGTTTACGAAAATGAGAGGACGGAAAGCGAATGTCCGGCGCTTTAACCGGATCCCAAACCAATGGTGCACATGGGCTCCAGTATCCTGCGGGGACAAATGGCGTATTAACCAATCGTCGGTCACCGGCTACCATGGGACTGCATCTCGATGCTCCACTGCCTTGTGGGTCAGACCTTTAGGTCAAAGGCTCGAGGTGTGACCCCCTGGGAAAACCACCTGCTTCGGTCTGGGCACCCGGGCAGTACCACATTCCACACACAAATATGATGAGATGTCGATATTTATGGAAAATACTTTTCTTGCTTCGATTAACAATCAAACGATTCACGTTATTATTGCTATCATTGTTATTAACTAGTCACTCAAAATGCTTGACGCGATTATAATGTATTTACCTTCAATCCATGACAACACCCATTTCGGATGGTCCAATAAATTTTATTGAATTATTTGTTTGCTTACATTTGTTAAAACATCCGTTTTAAGCCTTCTGCTGTCGTCAGCACACCACCTCATTCACCGATGGAGATCATCCCGGATACACCAATATTATCTCCGAAAACACCTCTGGGGACCAGAGGAAGTTATAAAAGCTCACCCCAAATCAATGTTATCTCGGAGGGTGTGAAGACAACTAGTAATCAAACGTCATCCATGGTTAGTCATACTTTTGTTACTGAATTTAATGTTTTTATGAAGCATCCCTAGTCTCTTTTCTATTTTTTACTTGTGAAACAAGTAACTTCTTATACATTGTCTATGAAAGTTCCGTTCTAGTTACTTATATGGAAAAGATATAAGGTTAATTATCACGATTATTAAATTTAAACAACAATAACTACATAGAAAAATCCAAACACCCTTTTTTTTCAGGTCCTTTTCAGCATGCTATCGTAAATATGTGTCTTACCTCCAAAGAATAGTTTTGTATACTTGGCTGTGAGCTACGCTTCGTTTTGGAGCCATTCAGATTGCATGGGTGCTCAGACAGAACTATGTAGAGCGTAGTTCCCACTTAGTCGGAATCTGATCACCTTGACCTCCAAGTAATAGCTTCACTCTAGCATGTTACCCTTTGTGAAGTGGTCTCTTATTAGTTAAAGGCACTCAATCTCAACTTGTTCTGGTCAGTCAATAGTAGTGTTTGTCAACGAAAAGCTATATTTGTAAGGTAATTGTGTTTGTTGTAGGTGTTTATCAGCGGATATGCTTTGAGTAAATTGTTCGTAGATCCAGCTGTTCCTTTTTTTCATCATCATCTACTCTATAACATTTATTCTGTTTTATTAGGGTACGCATTAACACTATCACCTTTTACCTCTCTATTGTCGGCTATTTAGGTCGAAGCGTGATTAAGCACGTTATTGTGGGAAATTCGAGGCTGTTTTTTATTATCGAGTTCATTAAATTCACTCACATGTCTATGACTAGGCACAAAGTGCTGTAGTCACAGACAAATATAAAAGTAATATTGTCTTTTCGGTTCACGTACCAGTTTGACGGGCTAAGATTAATTCTGTGATAGATGTCTCATATGGATCTCCATTTATTTCAGGCATTTAGCTTTTTTCCGCATATGTAATCTATTTTTAGTTTCTGTCACTCATGAAATACTTGCATTGTGTAAACGCTAACAACGTCTTACCATTCAAATGTCTTTTGATTTTCAATAACGTAAAATAGGTTAATGAATCTCTTAATGATAGCACTGATACTGCTGTAAAAGATCGAAAGCATTTTTGGGCCTACAAAGCTCGCGATGGTCCTCGCAGTCTTGGATCAAGAGAAATTCCTAAGGTTAGTCCTCTTAATTTGATGTAAACGGTCTAAAATATGATACAGTTTATTTTAGCTCACAATCAAATGTCATTGGTGTAGAATTTTTCATGTGGCGACTATATTTTCAGTCAATAATTGGTAAAATTAATTAATTTCTTTAGCTGGTGTAACTAGTTATTTGTCTTAAGGTCAGTTAGAAAATAAATGTGCTGTACACTAGTGGTCAGACGACATTGAGAGATCAAGCCTTACATGAATGGAGCAGTTCATAGAAGTATAAGGTGGGTTTTGTTGTTTCCATGAGATGGTAATATATGCCTTAAAAGTCCTAGTGTTATGACACTATACAATCATGTTAGTATGATTAGTTGGACTGATTAAGTCTTTGACGAAGTAGACATGAACAATGTAGACCTCGATAAAATTATCAATGTGAGCTGAAAACCCTTTACTAACATTGGAGAAAGTAATTAAAGAAGGAAAGCCATAAAAATGAAAATAATGATAAAACGTACCCTAGATTTACTAGACAAAGTCTAAGAAAACAGTCAAAAACAAAACGTACGGCATAAGAATAGTTGAATTTTTGAGACTTATCAGTCATGTTATTTTGAGTTCACTGCAACAAACAACTCAGTTTTGACGATTTCTCTCCTGCTAGCCGTAACCAAAAGATTCCGATTTCACTGAATTTGTAGCATATTTTAATTTAACTATCTTTTAAGTTATCCACTTAATATCATATGGGTTTGGGCTAAACACAATTATTAGGTATTAGGTGAAAAAAGCATAGTGCATTTTCAAATCCTAAGTGATATAGCGGTTGAAAGAAAATCTGGCTGTCCTGTACAGCAAAGCTTTTCATTTCTACTCCAGTTTACGTACCTCGTTGAGAAATGTCACATTAAGATGTTAAAAGCTGTCCACATGCATAATTGGTAAGCTATAACTAAACACTTTCTGTAGTGTGATATTTATTAATTAAGTACAGATTTATTTACTTAGATGCGTGTCTCAAGCTTTGTATAAAGCTGTCAATAGTGTCTGGGTTTTCAAACAGAAGTAACCGGGATCTTAGTTTAGATTTATGACTTACTGTCTGAAAGCGAAGTGCTTTAACCCCTTAGCCATCAGGAATTAGTGGTTGCTGTGCACTCGAAAGGTGATCGTATATGGATTTATACAGTATGGACAAGAAATGTGGTAGTGGTGGTATTTATGCAGAAAACTAGGGATTCTTATGACCAGACAGGTAGTTTACGCAATCCTTTTTAAAATTAAATGTCTTTCAGTTTTTTCGTGATTTTTGATGGTTTGTTTGAGTTTGTCAAGTACAATAGTGGAAATGTCTCTATGAGACGACATTAGCGAAATGAAATGTATTGTTATACAATTTCCGTTCCAGGGAACTCCGGATTGTTTAAAGGGACTAAACTTTCTCATCACTGGAATACTAGAGTGTATTGAACGAGAGGACGCTGCAAATCTTATTCAGAATTGTGGTGGAAAAGTTTTAAAAACATTGGGTAAAAAGACTGATTATCTTGTTGTCGGGCGTGAACCTGGTGCAGCCAAAATCGAGAAGGTGGGTTTTAAATCTATATTGTACCAAAATATATTATTGAATAAAGCCTTTAATAATAATAATAATTGTTTATTTATTAAGAGCAAAAAACTAATATTTGCTAATTCCCACCTTAAATTTTTTTATTTTTTCACCAGTTAAGCTACTTATTTCCAGCTATTTTAGTATAATCTTAACTCGGCTACTTATAAGTAGAAAGGAATAGTACTTTTAAACTGTAAAATTTTATATCTCAAGTATACCGTTTAGTTAGTCTACATTGAGGTACGAATATGTAATTAGGTCAACTGCTTGTTAAATTTTAACATTGGAGAAAGATTGAATAGTATGATAATTACTGATTTCTATAGCCTATGCATATGAGAAGAAGGCTTCCACTTATTTTAAGCAGGACCAAATTGTATCTTCTCATTAATGTGGTTGTTTATAGGAATCTCTCGGTCTCACACTTTGTTCAGATATTCCATGTCCCAATGTTTATTGTTTCCTTGGTTGTCCGACCTATTTGATTCCAAAGACGGCTTTCACCATGCGCTGTCACATGTCTTATCCATAAAGACTCTTCTCTTCCTGGAACAGAGTTGAATTCACTTTTTGTGTCTACAGATTCTGTAACTTGATTCTTTTTTACGAAAAAGAGTTTATCACCTTACGTCCAATCCTCTCTCTTTTCCCGGGCTTGGGGCTGTTAGTAGCCTTGCAGGTAACTTGGGACTTCTGTGTTTCGAGAGAGGTTTTGAGACGCTAAAGTAAAAGTAAATGCTAAATTATAGTTTATGCCTTCTGTATCTATCTGTCTTTCCTTTTATTATATTCCCACCAAGTTTTGTGCAATTATAGACGTATGACTTCAATGGAGATGAAAAATAGCGTGTTCAAAACCTTCTTTTTAATCTTATTAATTTTTTTCACCACACCCAAACACTTCTACAGTACTCATCACAGACAACCCAGATATGCAACAAGGACATTCAAACACTGAATTTGAAGCAATGCGAGTCCTTTTTATGAATCATTACGGCAGATTAATTTCCAGTCTTTGTTAATAACTTACATGAAAATGATAATCAAAAGCAAGTGTAAGGATTTAAGAGTTTCGAGGTCAACATAATACTCGAATATGTTTGTAATTTTCCCCGGCTCAAAAATAGGGTCTTTTATCTTGTGAACTGTTGGGATGTGCAGATTTCTGTTGCTGTGATCAACCACATGGGTCCAACATGTAGCTATCTTGACCAAGTTGTCCCCTTAAATAATCGTTTTGAAAGTTAAAAAAATAAACCTTGTTCGATAAAGTGTGTTTACTTCCATCCATTCTAAATTTTTCACATATGAACTAATTATATTAGGAAAAACTGTCTTACAAATGTGATTTTGCATTTAAAAAATACATAAAGTGCTTTAATCTATCGATGATAATTATAATCATTTTCTACAATTATACAATTTACCACAACACTTCCTGATTCAATTAATATTTTCATCCTAACTGTTCAATTTCATATCAAAGAAATTTTGTCAGAATGTTTTCGTTTTAAGAGCAAGCAAACTATGTTTTTATCATTCACTTGAAAAAGAAAAGTGTCAAAGTTCATCTGATAAAGTCTGTTGAAAAAATACATATAATCAAAAAGATGACTCGTCACCTCGTTGGAAAAAAAGTATTTATCAAATTTCCGTTTAAATAAACTGACCCAAACTCGAATAAACGTCGTCATCTAGAAACCAACACGGCATCGATTTCTTATGTCCTTAGTTTAATTATCATATGTAATTCAGGAAGATCTATTCATCATTCAAAAGACTGATTAATTTACCATCACTTTATCAAATCCAATGAATACTTCATTTTGAAATTTTCATACCACTTCTGAGTATTATCATTACCGTTGTCTTCATTATGTCATGTATCACTCCACTGTTGATTTTTGTAATTAGTATTAACTTTATTATTTTCTCTACCTTGCTATAAATAATCTGTACTTGTTCCTAATGATCTCTCTCTCGCTTATTCCTGTGTAAATTAGGCTTATATAATCGGGGAAAATAATTGTAGCTTTTTTCTTCATCAATATACTCAATCGATTCAAACACATTACATATAAAGCATTTATAAAATTGATTCGGATATGAAAGATTTGATATATACAAAATAAATTAAATCCATTTTGTTGCCCAGTATTTATTGTTCGTGTTGGCCAGTTGTTTTTGTGCATTTAAGCAGATGTTTATTGGTAAGTACTGCTAATAATACATGATAAATGAGAGAAAGATCCAATACCCCTTGAATTTCAATTATTCATGGATACTACTAATCTACAAACCACTACATATAAAGCGTAGTCTAGCATTGTGTTCACTGACAGATTAATTAACAACTGAAATGATTATTATCATTCATCGATGTTTATTGCATCTGGTACTTAGAAAGTAAAGTTTATTTATCAATTATGATCAACGTAGAACTCATAGTTAAACTGTTTAAATGGCTTCATTAATTTTTATTTTACTGACCTAAGAGTTGTTGTCTAGTATTTAAAAATATTTGGTTGTCATGAATTCGAACGATACAATCGTCTTAAAAGTTTATGATTACTTTAAGTTCTGACATAATAAGTTATAACCATCTTGAAAAACCACCCGTACCTAATTACTAAATAATGACATTAGCGTAACTATCTATTTGACTCAGTGCTTTATATATTTTATCAAATCACTTGTAGTGTTATTACTAATTTATACTTTTTGGCTCAGTTATGATTGTACACCAGTTATAAACAAATCGAATATTAAAGTAGTGATGTAACAAAAAAAATCAATTACCTTTACTTAAATGAGTTCCTTTTGAATTCTGTATTTTAGACAATGAAGGACCAAAAGAAGTACTGATATTGTGTCTATTCTAATTATGTTATTATTTGTTTGTTTTACTGTAGTCATCACCTTATACAAGTCATTTGGTTATTCGTTATAACTCCTTAGGAAGACATTTTATCCAGTCATAAGTAGAGCTATTGTAGTCTTTCGATTCTGGGCTTCGTTATTGTTGAGAAGAACACTATTAGTAAAAGCATATACGACACTTGAAATATTTCAGTGGGAAAAATTATTTCTGTTAAACAGCACATAGTATTATTCATTTCTGTGTTTGATTTGAAATTGTTTTTCTACTCACAACTGTGTTCTTTTTCAAATTCGTGAAGGCTAATAATTTGAAAATTAAGCAGATTACCGAAGAACATCTCTTTGAAATGATAGAAAAGTCCAGTAATATTCCTCTTGTAAATCATAAATCGAATGTATGCAGCTCAGAATCTTCCAAGAAATTGGAGCCTGTAGATGCAAACGATAGTAAACAAAATTTAAAAAGTCCTAAAAAATCCCCCAAGAAGAATCAATCTACCAAATCACCGGATAATGCTCCTAAATCTCGTAAACATGAATCTCCGAATAAATGTGCAGGAAAGTCTGTTATGTCCTCATGTAGTGAACTTCCTCTTACTGCACGTCCTGTTTTAACTAATAATTCAACATTCAATAATAAAACTGATCGAAGTCATAGCAGTGGTTTATCCAAAACTCCTACTAATGTCATCGATAAGCAAGATTCCCTGTCCAAGGAGATGAGTTCGAAGTTGTCTGAATTATGGGTTGATAAGTATAAACCAACGTCTATTCGCTCGCTGATTGGTCAAAATGGTGCACAAAGTCCAGCCAATCGACTTTTAAATTGGCTATCTTCCTGGCACTCGAGTTTTTCAGCAGGTTTGTGGTGTATCAGTTATCTTATAACCTTTATAGTTATTAATTCTCCTTCAAACAGAAGTAATTCGATCATTAATGTAATGAATATCATTTATCAGTGTTATTTTACGTTACCTGGTGTTGCAAAACGAAAGTTGCAACATCAGGTCTATAGATCCTTTTTTCCAGACTCTAACTTTATCTTTCTGTGTTCATGAAACGCGAAATATCAAGTGACATATATGCTGCTCGTTACAAACTTTATATTTTCATATTAGATTCATTAGCTGTTTTATTTCAAGCTTATAGCCTTTTAGTACTATTCGTATTGTCTGATGATTTGAAACTCGTTTGGTGTACTTGTGAAGCAGATTGCAGTCATTTTTGTAGAACCTTTTTTAGTTATCTGTCATTTTGAAAATTCCATGAAATAATCTGTTTCTGCCATTCCGATGAAATATCGGTTATGTTATTCTATGACGTGGTAAAACTGGGAACCAACTGTTCTTATATTTGACCTTAGTTTTAAAATTTTTTATGCTTGTCACTTTTCAGGTTTAAAAGCGAAGGCTTACTCAAGTGCCCCTCCATGGGGCCCGTCATCTAGTGATGATGGGAAGTGGGCGCGCGCAGCACTTCTTTCGGGACCTCCAGGGATTGGCAAAACATCAACCGCTATTTTAGTATGCAAAGAACTCGGTTATACTTATTGCGAATTTAATGCATCCGATTGTCGATCCAAGCGGTGTTTAAGTGAAGAAATAGGACAGTCTTTGGGTTTACGAAATTTGTCACATATGGCGTTTGGTCAAGGTATGTGTATGATGATTTTCTCCTATTTCATTTACCAGCATTTAGCGGTGATAGTTTATAAAAATCTTAGTATTCCTAAATGTTTATGTATACAGTGTTTGCATTCAAAATCATAGTAAGCGGAATGTTTTCGAGTATGTGTTTCCATGACTAAGATCTAAATACTAATGATTTACTTACCTACTTACATCTGTTACCCCTCGTGGAGGGGCATAGGCCGCCCACCAGGATTCTCCATAGAATCTTTTCTAGTTGTCTACAGTTGCTATTCATTCTTTTCATGTATGCTTCTAAGTTCTTTGGCCTCCCTCTTTTCCGTTTTCTTTCAGAATTCCAAGTTAGCGCTTGTCTAGTGATGCAGTTTGGTGATTTCCTCAGTGTACGTCCCATCCACTTTCAATTTATTTTCCTAATTTCCTCCTTCAGCTGGAACCTGGTTTGTTATCTCCCCGATAGGCTGTTGCTGATGGTATCCGGCCAACGGACGATGAGTATCTTGCGTAGACAATTGTTTTTAAATACTTTTACTTTTTTGATGATGGTTATGGTAGTTCTCCAAGTTTCAGTTCCGTACAGTAAAACTATCTTGACGTCCGTATTAAAGATTCTGAACTTGATACTGGCTAACAGTTGTTTTGAGTCTCATATGTCCTTCAATTATAGGGATCCTGCTCTTGCTTTGCCTATCCTTGCCTTTGCGTCTGTATCCGATCCTCCTTGTTCATAGATGGTGCTTTCCAGATACGTGAGAGTTTCGACCTCTTCCAGAGCTTCTCCATCAATTATGATAGGGTTGGTGTTCTCTGTGTTGTATTTGAGGATTTCGCTCTTTCCCTTGTTTATGTTGAGGCTGCTACTACACTGGCTGTCTCGACCTGCATTTGTCCGTGCGTATAGGATAGAAGTGCCAGGTCATCTGCAAATTCCAAATCGTCTAGTTGCATGCAAACTGTCCATTGTATTCCGTGCTTTCCCAAGATGTGAGGGTGTTCATGATCCAGTCAACCACTGGAAGAAAGAGTAAGGTGGAGAGTAGGCAAACTTGTTTGACTCCAGTACTCACTTGGAATACATCTGTCAGCCTTCTTCCATGCACGACTTTGCAGTTTAGTTGGTCGTATTAACTCCGGATGATGTTGGTGATTTTTACACCATAGTGTCGACGAAGTTTCCATGAGGTTCTCCTTTCCACTCTGTCAAATACTTTCTCATAGTCAAGGAAGTTGGTGTGTACTGATGAGTTCCATCCTATTGATTGTTCAACAATGATCCATAGTGACGCAGTTTGGTTTGTGCACGATTGATCGTAACAGAATCCTGTTGGCCTGTTGATCTCGGAGTTGGGTGTCTACTGATACTTTCATTCAGTTCAACAACCCTCTGTTAAAAACGTTTACTGTTACCGTCGTGTCATAGGGTTGTTTCAAGTTTCCTTCTCTTACAGATTTTTCCGCAGTCGTTGTTAAGTCTTCCACGTATTTCTGCTTGTCGGCTCTAGTGCTTCTCTTCACTTGCTTGTTTGCTTTGGTGTATTCGGCCTGTGCGTCGACTTTCTCTGTTCTTGTTCGACTGTTGTTGATTGCTGTCTTCTCGTTCTTCCTTTACGGAATCTAGTCAAGTAATTTGATAGGGATCCATTCCTTGTGATGATAATTCTTGCGTCCCAGGATCTCCTGACACATTGAAGTTAGTGCTTCTTTGATTCCTTTCCATTTGTCCTACATAGTAGTTTTTTCTTCTTTCAGTAGATCTTGTAAGGCTTGGGATCTGTTATTGAGAGTTATCTTAAGATCGTTGAGTTTGTCAGTATGTCGAAGGAAGGCTGTGTTGAACCCTTGTAATGCTGTTTTTCAGTTGTCTAGTGCTCTTTTACACTCAGTTTCATCTTGACCGCCACCGGTTGGTGGTGATCTGAAGCTAGCTATGTCAGCTCCTCTCCTGGTTTTCACGTCTTCCATTGACCTTTCGAATTTTTCAGTGGTGCAAATGTGGCCGGTCTGATTCTCTGTAGTGAGATGTTGTGCGACACATGTAGCTTTGTGTATGTGTTTGTGTGGTAATATTGTGCCGTATATAACCGTTTTTGCTGAATGCACATAAGTTTGAAAATCTCTCACCATTCTCGTTCTTTTCTCTCAGTCGGTTCATGCCATCCCATGATATCTTGATATCCTGTGTTGTCCATCCCAACCCTGTCTCTAGTAAAACTGGTGTTTATCGTATTTATTGTTATCACTAGTGGGTGCATGACAGTGGATAACATTCATTGTGATTCCCTCCTATATTTTGAATGATGATTTGATAATTGTGGATCCATGGGATTCCTATCCTTTATTGATTTATTTGAACACATAAATTTTGGTACAAATAGGCATTGAATACATATGTGCCCCACAAGTCACCTTGTTTGTATGTAGGTTGTAGTACTGCCCGTGTGCCTAGGTGGTTTTCATAGAGGGTCACACCTGAATCCTTTGACCTAAGGGTCTGATCCACAAGGCTATGGAGCAACGTAAGGAGATGCAATCCCATGGTAGTCCGTGACCAACAATAGGTTCATACGCAATTTGTTTCCTCAGGGCCCTGAAAGCCATGTTCACCATTTGTTCGAAAATCAGTTTTTCAACTCCTATAAGTGAATGGTCTTTATCCACCAACCTGGTTTCAGCGCCGAACATTTGCTTTACGTCCGCTCAATTTCGTAAACAACACACCTGCGACGAGAACGCAGTGAGTAGAGCTTGCATGGCAGTGGCTATATATGCGTAGCCATATGACAACATTTCGAGAGGAAGAGCAAACTCTCCCCACTCTGTCCTGTTTCTTTGTTTAAATAAATAACTAAATGAAACAATCTAAATTTGGGACTTTCAGATCTTATAGTAAACATGAAACACTTCTACTTTTTTATCATCAGACATCAATGACTTGTAATTTGATGGTATGGACTAAATATATTTTTTTCATAGCATCAACATTAAATTCTGGTCGTCACGTTTTAATTATGGACGAAGTAGATGGTATGGCTGGTAATGAAGATCGCGGAGGAATGCAAGAACTTATTAACATGATTAAAATTACTCAATTACCTATTATTTGTATGTGCAATGATCGTCAGGCTATAAAAGTCAGTAATTTGTTTTGTTTTCATTTTCTTTTATGTGTGAAGTAAAATGACATGCTCTATACATGTATATGTAAACAAATGTTGTTTACTAACAGCTGAGAAAGTTATAAAAAAGGTCACGATCCAACTGTAAATTTAGCGCTTCAATAATAATATTAGAGTATTTTGTCTTATTGTTCATTTTGTTCAAAAGCTGAATTAATACTTAAATTGTATCAATTGTTAACATTTATCTTTAAATGATCTCGGGGAGATTTTCACATTTGACTTTCTTCCCAGCATTTTCAACTCTGAAGGTATCTTTAACATATTTTTGAAGTTTTTAGCACACTACATGATTGAAAATGCGCATATACAAGTTTTTGCTTGATTAAGGTTTGTTAGCTATAAAAATTAAAACTTTTCAATAGCTTCGGTATTTCTTTGTCGAAGCTCTAAAATTTTTATTTTCCAAGTCAGATTCCCCCCCCAACACACACACTTAATTCCCTCTGTTACAACTCATTTACCATATTTCAAACCTATATCATACCAACAACTTCCAAACTCCATATCGTAACATGATTGGATAATCTTTTTGTAAACGATTGTTTTGTGCGGCCTATTTATTTTTTATAATTTTGATTTTTAATTTCTCCCTTGGAGATGCTCTAACTAGACTGGTGAGCGAAAACCTAGAGTTATCTCTTATAATTTCAATTACTGAGATTTTTACAAATATTTATTTACGTTTTTTGAAGCGTCACCTATATACTCGGTGTCCAAATATGTTGTGAAACTAATCATTCGTTCAAATTTAGACTTAAGTTATTATCAAATTTACTTCTTGTTGTTTAAAATTATTGATAAGCCTATCTAAGCGTCTGACCACATGACAGAATTATGCACAAATAATCTGAATTCGGAAACTAAGATTTTGTCTGAGAAGCGGTCCGATTATTCACAGAAATATATCCAAATAAGCTACAAGCCTCTGGGGCGTTTGATTGATCGATGTAGATAAAACGGTAAATGGTTCTTGAAATAATTACCGAAAGTATGTTAACGACATATGATAGCATAAATTACTGTTATTAACTGTGTCTAAATTCAACAACGACAACAGTAATCGAAAGGGCAACTGGGTACTCAAAATTTGAAGACTGTTACACTTAAAAAAGATTCAGTGGTTCCAAAAAAACTAAAAATAACAGTCCAAAGTGTTTATAAGTCACGTCTATGGTTGAGTTCGCTGAATATTATGTAAGTACTGAGAAGTTATAGAGAACACGATATGTTATATACCCAAAATGAATAAAGGTGGAATTAACTACTGAATATTATTAAGTAGTATAACTATTACACCAGATTATCTGATGATAGGAAAGGGAGTAAGTTGAGTAAGCTGAATTAACAGTTATAATTTTAAGGAAATTTTCCAGACAAGCTTATTAAATAATAGCAGTTAGTATTATTTTTATGTTTACTCTTACATTCTGCTATTTTAATTAGATACGCTCTCTGGCTAATTATTGTCTCGATTTAAGATTTCATCGTCCACGAGTTGAACAAATAAAGTCAGCAGTATTGTCTATTGTTGCAAAGAAAATGTGAATTTACCTCCGGACGTATTAACAAATATTATCGATTCTAGTAATCATGATATTAGACAGGTAAAATATACAAAGGAACTTTTATCATTTTACCAAGTTGTGTTATTTTGTTTAGAAATTATTTAAGCTCTTTCTTCCTTTTTTGGATTATCGCCTTATTTTTTATGTTATGAACTTAAACAATCTGTACATAATTTGTTGTCGATAAGAAGCCTTATTAAGATTAGGAGCTAATGGTTTATTGGGTAAAGCATTTGACATCTAACCACTAGTTCATAGGTTAAAAACCTGCTTCATCTACTTCAATTCAGGTAATTAAATAGTACTTCACCCACAATCTTTACACGTAAAATGGGATTTGAAGCCAAGTACTTGGATCTATGCTTTGTAAATGTTTCATTTTTTGTCACATGAGAATAAGTGGGAAACAAATTGTAGTTCAAATGAGTCTGAAGTCTTTACAACTTGTTGTCCATAAGAGACATATTCTAGTAGGTTTTATTTAGATACAAAATGAGATGAAACAGTTATATGTACAAAGTGGATTATAACCAAGTTATTGTAACACATTTTATAATAATGTCATCCTGCAACATTTTACTAACCTTATTAGAAAGATGAGTGATGAATACATAATAAAGCAATTGTGTCAAAATTATCCACAATAATAACTGTATACGGAAATTTAACCAGTGCAACTACAAAGTTGTATTTATTTTTTCTACGAACTTAAACATATCCACTTAAGCACTTTACATCAAGTTAGTTATTCGTTTTAAACATCTATTTGGCAAGATGTATTTTCTAAAAGTGTGAACAATTTTATGATGTGCTTCACTATGTCCGAGTTATTCAATGCATGCAATTTTTGTAGTATTCAGTAAATGAATATTTCTAACTTTGTCAAGAGCTTGAATTCATCGCGTGTTGAAAGTGTTCATGTTAAATTTCACCTACATTTTTGGGAATAATCCCTTATAAATTAGAATTTTGGTCACAGCATTGTTTACACAAGCATATATAGCTTACTCAGTAAGTTTATCCGCAACATTTCAATGTTCGGTAACTGTATGTTGTATCCACAGCACTTTCGTTCATTTCTCCTCTCGATTAGCGGGTTTGTGCTACATATTGCTATACGATTTTGATCTAGAAATTTCATTTCAAATTCCAACTTTCACAACGTTTTTATTTTTTATGCACGATAAAAAAGTGTTCATTGCAGATTGCTACGTTTGAAGAAATAACGATATCACTTAAAATCTGCGAACGGAACAAAAGTCAACAACACAACGATAGAATAAGCTAATCTATTCCATTTCGCCTTAGCCCTGATAACAAGAGGGAGAAGACCAGATCTAACCGATATATATATATATATATATATATATATATATATATTCCAAAAGCAGCCAGAAGCACGAACAAAACAAGCACACAACTCATGCCTATATATACAGTTCAAGACTATCCTTGGAAAATGTCACAAAATAGCGTACTGAAGGAGAAATCGAACCAATGGTATTCAAGGTCCTTCCGAATGGGAATTACAAACTTAAGGTAAAAATGGATGCTTTTGGCGCGAAAATAGTAAATCCAAATTTGCATAATAAAATCACAAAAATGAAACATTTACCAAGTGATTTCTAGGGATCTAGCATCTCCAACATAGTCAAAGATAACTTCAAACTCTTGAACAGAAATATTTGGTGGAAATTAAGCTGTAATGTGAAGCACTGACACATTTAATCAACGGAAAAATGTGCGTAAAAGCTATATATGACGTACTTATTGGACAACAAGAATGTTGCTGATAACCTAAGCTTTTTTAATCACAATTTTACTTTCAGTATTAATCCTAAACGTATTTTGTTTTTAGCAACAATGATAACAATAGATAATTGAAAAAACAACCATGTATACTTTGTAATTTCAGGTAATTAATAATGTTCAAATGTGGTGTAGCTCTGGTTTAATTGATTCCGAAGGATTAAAAGCGGATGCATTAGGTGCACGTAAAGATCTACACTTAAATGCATTTGATGTGATTCGTAAAGTGTTTGCACCGGATATTTCTGGTTCTCAAGGCAGTGTTGCTACATTCAATGAAAGTTTAGATTTATTTTTTCAAGATTACAATTTAATTCCTTTGTTTGTTGAGGAAAATTATCTTAATGTTAGAGTTCATAATACCCAGTAAGTATTATTGTTACTATCGTTAATAATATTGTTTTTGTATACATATATATCTTAAAAGTTTATTTATTTATTTATTTAAACACATAAGCATAGGTACAAGAAGGCACCAAATAAATATGCGCCACATAAACCATTCGATTTGTGTGAGGGCTGATAAATAACTCACAATGCCAATAACTAAATCTCAAAGAAATAGGCTTTAGAAAGAGAATCGCTAGCCGATTGACTGATAACATTCAAATGATTGAGAATATTTTGCAATTCAGGTTGATGCTTTTCGTAGTATTTTGTTATCTGAGCTAGATTATTTAATTGAAAAGTTTTCATTGTCGTTTTAGAAAAAAATCATTAGCGTCTACTTCATCCAGAAGTGGGCTTTTCATTTATCTCTCAAAGCCTAAGTCAGTTCATTCGGATGCTGTAATTTTTAAATGATTATATTCATAGGTTTCTCTATTGTCATTTGTTTGTTCATTCCTGTTGATTGTCTTCTTCAGTTGACTGTCATTCATATTTTTAATTAGCTCCTTCCATATGGTTGATAGACGGGACATATGCCTACGTATCTATTGATTGCCATTTGATTTGAATGTGTTGCCTATAGAAATTCTCTGTCGTTCCTAGAATTTCCATTATCCAGAGTTGTGACATTTTCTGAATCGGATTCATTTTGATAGTTGTTAAAGTGGATTAATATCAATCCTATCTCATGTTACCTCACTGTCAATTTATTTCCATGTATACATAAATAAAGGGGCCCCTTACTTTGCCTGATTTAATGTTTCACCTGTGCAGTTTATTTTGTAGGTGATATTGGATCTGTCTTTGATTGTCGTGTCTTTAGGTCTGCATAATAAGTTATTGAGTTTTAGCGTTGGTCCGTTGGTGAAATCGATTCTAAAGGGTTCCGCGATCATTTTAGTAGTTTCTGAGGTATTTCTCACACGCCATGGCTGATAATTTTTGCTATCGATAAGACAACTGTATTCCAAACGGGTCCTACAACCTCTAGTACTTTTACACATCAACTGGAGTACTAAAGAGACAGCGTGAAATGTGAGTCATAGCCTTACTCCAAGGCTAGTTTTTGTACAGAAAAATCGAGCGTATTTACCGAGTTACACACGACCCTGGGTTTTTGGCAATTTCTGGATTCATACTAAATCTAGTTGCAATATAGTTACATATCGTGTTATAACTGTAGCACGTAATTCTGCATTTTCCAGATGTTTCCGAGAAACCTCCATCCAACCCTAACTGAATCAATATTTCTTGGCGTTTCTAAGCCCCTAAAAACTTTGACGAGGGATACTTTGGGGACTCCCCCAACGACTGTATAATTTATTTCTTGGTTTCCAGGGTTGACATTTTGGTGGTACGTCTATTCACCAAACACTTTGATAAAAGTGCTAGGAGAGTTATTCTTACGGAAAGCAGACAACAGATGAGTCCTTTCAATTTTTCGAATAGCAAGTGCTGTTTGGATTTTCATACATGGCGTCTGTTCACAACTTTTGTACCGTTACTGTTGTAGTTTTTCATACTCGGAGACTTCTACACTAACATTTCTAAAGTTCCTGTGTTTGCCCTGTCAAAACATTCATGGACGAGGTTTTGTTTTCTGGTTCTTTTTTTCTGGTAGTTTTGATATCACCGAGGAAGTTGTTCCATCAGTATATGCATATTTTCGATTTTGTGAAATAATACCGTTATGTAGATGGATATTCAACCAAATTAGTATGACTGCCAGTTATACGTTAGTTAACGAGTGAGTAGACAAGAATATAATTAACTGCCACGAATTAATCAATAAGTCTTCACTTTAAACAATTTTAACACTATCGATCCCATTGAATATTATAATATTAGGTTCAATCAGTTATCTGTTACGAATCAAGTTTTTGTAGCTACTGCAATAGTAATTGTACGCAAAAAATCAATTTATCTAACCATAATTCAACTGGTTCTTTTTGATACCTCAACGTTTTGTCTCTCTTACTGAAATCGACAGAGGCTCTGTATTCTCTGTAGTTTTGAGCGGAAGAGTCATCAGTGAAATATTATTTTTAAGATTCAAGCAGTTTATTTGATGCTTCTCGATTTTAGAAATTACCATTCTTAATTATTCAAGGAGAGTAGTGTTCCACATTCTGCTCTAATCGATACAAATACACTGATAGCGAAGAACTAAAAAGCTTGGGTAGCTGTTGTAACATCCTACCAATATGAATTGTGACATTGTTATTTTGAGGCGTATCGTCAGTGTTAAATGTATGAGTGTAGCCTTTAGCAGTTTGGACGTCTAGGTAGCACCACTAGCCCTCACATTTATAGTATCGTTCAAAAACAACTGTACGTAGTGAGTTACATTAAATTAATAGACACATAAAATATTATTTTATAAATTATTTACGTTCTCTGTATATATTGTAAGAAAGTAAGGTATGGTTTGTGACTCGCACATTTTCGTACTGTTTATATTTGTATTAATAGTGTCCATCGGTTCGTTCGTATGTAATTGGTTAACTTTGTTTTAGTGACGATAAAAAAATTTTGCAATTAATGTCTCAAGCAGCGTCTGACATCGCCACGGCAGATATCATTTCATCTACTATCAGATCATCACGTACGGGATCATGGTCTTTATTACCTGTTCAAGGTGTGTTCAGTACAGTTTCACCCGGTCGTACTCTTCGTGGCTCTTTACCTGGTGGCCCAGGTGGTGTTTCATTTCCTTCTTGGTTTGGTAAGAATAGTACACAAAGCCGTATCAATCGGACTACTTCGGAATTAGCTGCACATTTACGATTAGCAACTCATTGTGGTTCATCAAACCCGCTTACATTATTGCTAGATTATGCTACACCAATCTCTGAACTTATCACTCGTCCACTTAAAGAAGGTAACATTCTTACAATTTTTTTAGTATTTGAAATGTTTTGGAAAGGCAATCGGTTCAATAATAAGTGCGCGTGATTTTCCAAGAAATAACTTCTATTTCTAAACAATTGGAGAGATATTTAAATTTTTTAGGAAATATATATAGGACTAAAAAGCTGTGTATTTCTAAATTCTGTAAAAAAGCTAACACATTTCACTAAAATGTTAAGGTTTTAAAATTCATTATGAAGGCTATAATCATTTACTGTCTAATGTACACCACGGAAAAGTTTTCTATTTGATAGATCTTCAAACAAAAGTTGAGGAGTTTGAGTAATTGTGTGGAAGTTCAACCCATCTATCTGTGTTTTATCATCTAAACAGCTAGCGATAAATTCACAAACCTAATATTGCTGATATTTTTCTCATGATTCATAGGTTGCTCAAAACTTGTACTTTCACAAATTTTCAGTTCAACGAATACCTCATGTTACTGTCCAAACTAAATTATAAAAACACAGTATATTGCCATTTTATAAAGCTCAATAGGATATAAGCAAAATTAATTAGCCTGATGATAATTAACGAACTTTTATGCGTCATCGACGTAAGCTTTGGAGATAATAGGTTAGTTGGTGAAGCGATGGATCAGTTTTTAAGGGTTTTAGCTTTCAGCCAATAAGTTTGAGGATCGAATCCCTATACACGTACTTTCGTTTGAGTAAATGGACAGTGTCATTAGCTTTAATGCTTAAAATGTGGTTTTAAGCTAAGTATACGAATCTGTACACCTGATAATTCAATTGATAAAAATACTGCCAAAATTAGCTAAAAGAGAGCTTACAATTTGAACCATGTAAAAAGTTAACCAATAACATCAAATCATTCACCGGGCGCTTAAGTGTGAGCCCGAATTGAAGCGAGTCGGGGTTCGAACCGGAGAACAAGTGACCGAAAATCGAGTGCCCCAACCAATAAGATACCTCATTGCGTTGAGTGATTAACATAATCTTCGTCCTCATTTTACATTTTATCTAGTCTTTTTGTTTACATTTTCTTTTATATAAGACTTGTAATAGTTTTCAAAATTTTCTCATTTAAATCATCATGTGTTTTCTTCTTCTTATTATTAAAGAAAATACTTGTGTATTTATTTCAACAACTATTTGTTTAATTGTTTATATTTAAGGTGATATTGACAGTGCTATTCAATTTCTAATTAATTATCAAATAACAAGAGAAGATGTTGACTCTATAATGGAATTAACTACTTGGCCGAATCGACCGAATCGAATGCTTAGTGTTGATTCAAAAGTAAGTTATCAGCATACATATTGACAATCTTTTTTCATGATGTTACCCCCTTTTAAATAGCTTTAACATAAATACTATATCAGTTTCTGTTTTATAAATTAGAAGACAGTACATGTGTAAGTGAACAGTTTTGTTTCTATAAATAAATAATATATTTGTAATATCCCGATGAGTAGGAAAATTAGATTTTCTGACGTTTCGTGACTTAGTGCAAGTCACTTCTTCAGAGAATAAATAACCAAATTAAAATTAATCCAAGTTTATATATATAATACTACACTAATCAATATAATTTATGAGATTTTAGTATTAATGCAATATGATTATTGTTATGTCTTTATGCCCGGGTTAATGTATCACGTGATACGATCGCCAATTAGAATACCGACTTACTGACCAGACCAATAATGCATAAACCATTACGAGCAGTCCGGCGTGAATTCTGAGTTCTTATTGATCCACTAAGATAGTAGCTCCTCGTTTAACCCAGCTAATTTAGTACAAAACACCAATATCAGTCTCCGTTATACTGATCATATATTTCAGACACAAAGGGTTTATGCACAAACAAACTAGATCTCATCGTATCATAAAACAGAAAATAACAATTATACAAGATCAAACCAAAAAGTGGCTGTAATTGTGATAGACTGCTACTAATAAATTAGAAATATCTTAAGAATAGTAACTCGTATAATAGTAGTCAATGGATCATATAAAAGCTCGTAATAAATGGAATATGAATATACATATAATATAGTTACTTAAGTTATACAATAAGAATATGTATAATTATAATAATAATAATAATCCATAAATAGATCCTAGCGGTTACTATTCACCTTCTTTATCCGGATATAACAATTACACCTAAGAAATTTTAATGTTAATCGTACGGATTGTGATTCTAATGTGACAGGTATATACTAGTATGTATAAAAATAATAAATGACATGAGCATATATATTGATGTAGCAAATAGGTTAGAACTTCGAAAGATTAACTCATTAAAATAATAATTATTAAAAATCAAATGATAAACGAGTGCTGTGTGTAAATAATCAGTTTAAATAATATATATCTAGTAAAGACAAGGTACAAAAAGAATGTCGATAAATAAAGGGTGATAAAAACTGATAAAATTGTTTACCAATTCCTATTCGACCAATGAAAAGAAAGTTTAGGATTTTCTTTTAAATTCAGAAAGGGGTTTTGTGGATATTATAGTAATTTTTTAGTAGTTGAGATCATGAGTCAATTGGAGCTAGACCACCATGAAAAACTTGGGAGCACTGGACGGCCGTTTCGTCCTATTTTGGGACTCCTCAGCAGTGCGCATCCACGATCCTGCCTCGCGAGATTCTAACCCGGGACCTATCAGTCTCGCGCGCAAACACTTAACTTCTACACCACTGAGCTGGCATCCAACCGTGTTAATATCTAACTTCAACTAATTCATGAAATTGAGTGACACATTTACCATTGTCTTCAGTGAGTTACTATCTCACAACAGACCTGGTTGAACGCCTATTGTCACTGCTTCTCATTAGAACTCCAGGAAATACCTCTTGGAGACAGTCACTAGTGAGCATATGTTAATCAATATCAGAAGGGATTTTGTGGATATTATAGTAATTTTTAAGGTTTTAGACTTAAGTCTCTGTAGTTTTTGGTGTGTATAAGAGATGACAGGATATTATTGTTCGTTTATGTGTTGATTTAATAATAATACTTTGAACTTGAATAATTGTGGATCTAATAATCTGTTGTTTGACTGAATTCTCTATAGCACCGCCTTGGTTAAAAAAGGCATGAACGTTATTATCAGATCTCATAAATAATCTTATAGTGTAATTTGTGGCAAACGGATGTTTTCTGTAATGATTTGTAGTTATCCGACTAAATACCATATTTATTGTAGATTAATGAAGGTAAAGAAATGAATCGTATAAAACTTTCTTGTTTTTAAGAGTTAATAGGAAATGAAATATGACACTCACTAGGGATTATTCAAGCTTCAAAATAGGCGATGTTCATGTACACCTGTTTTGAATCGTTGATTTTTTTCATCATTAAGCCCAGAAGAAATTGATATGATCAACTTATATAGGGCTGTCTTTATTTTAATAGTCATCAATGTCCTAATGAAAACACTGTTAGAAGAGCCTTACAAATATCCTCCGTCAAAGTCTTTAGGAGCCCAGGAACGCTAGGTACCACTGATCCAATCAGCGTTGAATGGAAACATTTAGAAAATGTAGAATTACGTGCCACGGTCCTAATTGGATATTTAACTATACTGCTGCTAGATTTAGTATGGCTTTAGAAATTGCCAGAAACCGAAGGTCGCGTATATCTACAAATACTATCGTTTCCCTGTCAATAAACTTAACCGTAGAGTAAGACGTTCTTTCTGCACGTCGTGCTTTTTCTCTTGTGTTCAAATTCCCGCGAAAAATTAGACTTAGGGGTTACTGGTAGCGGATACGAAATCGCACCGATTGTTCGTTGGGCAGAATTACCACACACATGTATTAGTTTTAATGTATCATATATACGCAACAGTTCACTAACTCCTTGTTTTGTTAAGGTTGTATCAATCGTTAATAGAAACAAATTTTTGTGTAGACTTTTTACTCCACATTTTTTCCTTGAAGAATGAGATACATTGAAATTCAACGTAAATGTTTACTTTGATTACGTTTTTAAGTTTTTTTATCTGCTCGCTTTATGTACAACTCTAAAAGTTTGTTTTGACAGCATTGATTTGGTGAATAGAAGTGAAACTGTTGTTGCTCGCATTGTTATTGTATTTTTCACTGGTTTAATTAATCATGTTACTTCTGGTATTCAATACATAGGGATATAATTCTTTATGAATCCCCGTCTTAGTTAAGTAGAATACCTCCACTTGTTTTTCTTAGTGTTTCTATCTTCTGAAATCTTTTTCTATCAAGATCAATATGATGGATTTAATGAATAAATGATCAATTTGATTATATTAATTTGAAATAATCAGTTTGTTTGCTAAATGTGGTTGATATGATGAGATGTGTTTTTTTCAGAACAATACATTTCTAACAATTATGACTGATCAAAATTCAGTCATAAACATCAACAACATGATAATCCAAACTATTTCAGTTTCATTTAGAATCTATTCGTGTTTCATAAGCTTGTGAGGTATCTTAACTCGGTAGCTCAGTGGATAATGGATGGTATGTGTAAAACGGAAAGGTACTAGTTTCGAGTACTAGCGTGAATGTCTACACTGAGATGCAAGTATATACACGGATTAATTCTGAATAAGATGAAATGCGTGTCTTGGATTTCATCACTGACCATATTCCCTCTATTATGTAGGAACCTATTTAAGGTATTTTTACATGTAAAATGAAACGTAAAGTGAGGCAAATTAAAAGAAAAGACAAAGGAAATCTAGAAAATAATGGGACTTACATCACTCTATATAATAAATCACTATTAACAGGGTAAGTTTAAGGTGAGAACAAATTGTTCTTCAACACACAGGGAGGGGCAATTAAATTGTCATGTAGCTACGGCTTCAATCAAACAGTATTGTTCCTCTGTCCATATCTGTAGAATACCACAAAGATTTATTAAATACCAACCCTATGACACTTCCTAACTAAATGTTTCGTAATTGAACATGTTTGACTATATACGGTATTTAGTCAAATGAATTTCACTGTCATATCACCTGCTTATTCTATTATATTATTTAGATAAATTAATTTCATAACTTTCGTAAATCAACTTTCTGACTGTTATAGTTAGCTCATTTAAATAATTTATTATTAATGTACTCATTTATATCCTTTTTAAGGTCAAAGCTGCATTAACGCGTACGTATAATAAATCATCGCATTTACTACCGTATGTCATCTCATCAAGTGGTTCCTTTAAACGTAAACGTGGTGGTGGTGCTCCAGTTTCATTTGAAGGGGAAATTGAAAATGATTCTGGTCTATTCGACGATGATGATGAAGGAGAAGAACAGGAAGACGAGAAAGTCGACCTGAAGAATGATGCCATGATTTTAGTATGTTTCAACGATTGTCCATATAAAAATTTATTGCATTTTGTAAAGAATAATATTATATCTTATGACTATGAGGTGAATATCTTCTACCAAGATGAGATCCATAGATATGTATGTATATGTATATGTAAGGCTTTTAATCCTAAATTGAATAGTATACACCTGAATTCAAGATGTCAGTACTTTATATTATATTTGAATTGACATTGCTAATTATTGAATAAAGGAAAACGCCTTAAACAGCATTAATAAATTACTTTTACCTTTGTATTGTTGCACTGTAGACATTTGTCTGTTTTGATTTGAACAATCTACATAAGACAACAATGTACACTGACATTTTCTGTTGTCTTCTGCTCACCGTCGTCATTTGTTTTTGTTGTGAGGGGCGGTGTCCAAAATCTGATACTGATAAGCGGTGTGTTACGCGCCGACTCCCCAACTGACTACTTGAGTGAAAACACAAGAGTGAGTGAGAAACTGTATTGAACTACTGAATAAAATGTACAAATACTTATTCATAAATATATATACCACTCTAATCCTTAGGAAATTGATCCATTATTTAGCCAATGAAATGCACGTGTCCTTTAGGCCACTTCTGGTTGCCATCGATTGACCTTCTCATAAGGCTACTTCTGATTGGCTCCTCATATGAGTATTTTTGTTTTTCGTTGTTATCATACTTATATTTATCAGTTATCTATCCTTTGGTTTTCCTTCTATATCTAATATATATATATATTTCTAGATTAAAAAAGAAGATCCAAAAAAGCGCATAAACACTGAGAAATCCAAATTACAACGAGTAGAGCAATGTTCATCTTCTGATAGCAACAATACAAAAGAACGTGGTCGAGGTCGTGGTCGCGGTAGAGGTAGAGGGAAAGATTGAAACACATATACATACATTCATTCGCTTGTTGTTATTCTTACGGTTTCGATAGCATTTCATCTCATCACTAAACGCTGTACAAAAGATAAACAAATCTATTTGTTTGTTTGTTTTTTATTGAAAATAAGAAATATGTATTTTTATCTTTACCCTGCCATTGTTTATTTAATAGGTTCTATTTTTTTCGTAACTTATTGGGTTAAACTGCATTGCCCTATTGTTAAACATCAGATTATAGATTCAATAAATGTAATTGTATTATTTGTTTTTGTTCTTATGTCTACTAAATTTTGCTTGTTTGTACTTGTATGTTGTTGCATGATACTACAAATGTCATATCTGATCTGGCAAAATAGTATCAGGTGAATGTGTTTATTTTTGTTGTCTGTTCATTTATAGTCTTACGAATTCTAAGTCCTTTTAGTTCAATTCAAATCCAACCATAAGATAGTCTGAACTATACTATACGCTTCTAATCAGTAACTTATCTAGACGTGTCGTAAATTGATTACATGTCGATTTAGTTATCTGTTATTGGCAAGCTTTAATAACTATTGAGCTAATAAAAATTGGTGACCAATGTACACAATATCCGATCACTCATACAGTTCATTTGAAACTTCAAGCATTTAAATCCTTTTATTTGTAAATGTTTTAATCTTCACGTTGTTAATTTTAAGGACTATGATTGGTCAGTGTCTGTTGGCATATGTACATTCTTAGCAGATTGTCTCGCTATTGCCGTTGATTAACAAGTTTTTTTTTAAAACAAAGTTAGATATTGGGTAGCAGTGGAATTTAAGACGCGCGTTTAATCACATTTGATACTCTTCCATTGTATGTACTTAGATCTTAGTGTGAATACTTACTCTGGGACATCAATTCGATGTCGTTCACTTCAAACACCCAATGAGTTATCCACTTAGCTAGTGAGTTCTTCGGCGTTTATTAGATAATACTTGTAAAGTGACTAGTTTACTAATCGAGATGATCATTTGTTTCCTTTGGGTTTTACCACTTGATAGCTTATTTAATTTCATTAATCTACTTTTTCGTTTTATGGCTCTACCACAATCAGCAAAGCTGCTAAATGCTTCCTCGTTTGCAACGGCTATCTGACTAAAACTAATCCACAATGTAAACTGTGGTAGTCATATTTTTCAATACAATTCGTTCCTTATTATCGTATCAACTTACTCCATTATATTTGGGAATCTTTGTTGTTTCAGTCGAATGTTGTGTGTTTAGTGCCATTGATGCTTTTACTTTATTTCTAAAATGTACAGATCTATACTACACAGCTTTATGTCACATTAACTGTATGGGAGATGTAGTATTAACTAGCTCCCCCCCCGAGTAGAAATAGGGGGAATGGATTCAGAACGGGTAACCTGTTGATCGAAAGTCGATAGCTCAAACTACTCAGCATCTACTATTGCACAAATGTATATGTTTATTGATTAAATCATATACAATATGTTGGAATCAATTTTCGTTAGTATAAAACAGAAAACTACTGGATTAGTATTTGTTTATCGTTTGATTTTGTGATCAAAATTCTTTAAGTTTAAGCTAAACGTATTGGTTCAGTGATTAAAACATTCGATTATTGACTACTGGGTTATGGTTTTGAATCCCAATTCATTTATGCCACTTTAAACTTATTAATTGTTATTATCCCGAGAAATTGTAGCTCAAAATTGAGTTTACAAATATTAACTTAGTCAATGAGTTGTCAGAAATGGAAAAAAATCCTGTAAATATCTTTTTTTGTCATGTATTTTTCACTGTTTAATAGTAAGCATCTAAAGCCATCTTCAATAGTTATTATGAAAAGGAACTGGTGTTAGTTGATAACAATTTTGATTAGAAATTAACCTGTTATGATTATGAAATACCGTGATTTTGCATACACAATGACTATTAATTTATTATCTTTCACGTTGTATACTTTACTAAATCGAACTAGTTATTATATGATTTCATATTAATATGAATATACATGATTACTCTACTTTGTCATATGACTTCACACTGTAATCTTTCGTTATTACTGTCTTTAATTTGATAAGCCATCTCATGTAAACATTAAATGTTCGAAAAAAATATGTTGCTTTTGTTCGAATCTCGTGGAGATCGAGATCGTGGATGCGCACTGCTGAGGAGTCCCACAATAGGACGAAACGGCCGTCCAGTGCTTCCAGGTTTTTCATGGTGGTCTAGCTTCAAATGACTCAGGATTTCAACCATTGACGTTTTAAGTGTTCATTATTTAAAAACATACATATAGTTGATAATATAGTCTATTGCATGTTTAAGTAAATTAAAGTGATCGCGTTTTTATTTGCATAACTGGAACTCTATATTGATTGTTTAAAAAAGATGAATTTATTGGTTTATTGGTTGTGTCATTGAAACTGGAATTTATCCTTTCAGTTTTGTATTTTTAGATTCTTCAAAGTGTTTATCGATTCAACAAGCTTCAAAAATTCCCTGCTTATCTATTTTCATTCTGTGTACAGTTGACTAAAGTGAGATATTTCTTGTAATATACATTTGTATCATCGTTACGTACTTTTGCAGTACTTACCTTTATAGTTAGCTTCAGTATTTAGAAAAAAATGATACCAATGTAACTGATGATACGGACTGTGCTTATTGAGCTACAATTTTTAACAATATATTCTTCACATAATCACAATAGTAGTGTCAACACTAATTCCATTGTTTTCATATAAGTAAATGTACATGGTAAATATGAGGTTAGAGAATGAATTGGTGAATCAGTAGCTTAGTAGTTAATATATTTAACTGTGAGTTAGCGGATTTGAAATTTAATTCATGTACTCCACCATTTCGGTTTGAGTAATCGGTTAATATCATTAGGTGTAATATAATATAATCTGATTTGGTGCTCAGTTTGTAAGTTACAATATTCGTTAATTTTTACTATACTGTGAGATGGTGAAGATCTACTTAGGTGGGTGTTTTTGGTACGGTTTTATTCTCGGACCTTAATTGTTTAGTTGTGAGATTATCTTTTCCTTCTAGGCAATATCATTAAGATTAAACGTTAGATAGAAGTAAACTATTCTGAGTTATTTTTCCACAAAGGGTGATAATGTCCTAAAAGACAATGAAAACTTCACTACTCAGCTCAGAATATTAAACTCCACCAAAATTACTGTATCGTTAATAACTTTTAGAGAGCAAGAACAAAGATTGATGCAGAATAATATGAATTCATTTTATTTCGTTAGGTTCTCATCAGCTGCTTACAACCTAAAATATTTAAAATTCAACATTATTACAGATATTGACATACTTATACATAAGAGGGTGATTAAGGATGAATAAATGTATCATGGTGTAGCTAAGATTCCGATAGAGTTCCGGAACATTGAAATAGTGATTAGAACTCATGAAAATAGATTAATGGTAATAAAGAAAATATGAATTGAAATCAGTCAGTTATGTATTATGTAATTTAAACTTCTGAAAGAGTTGGAATAATAACGCAATAAATAAATACATAGAAATAAATGAATAAAAAAAGGGGGTTATTGTCACCAGGGTAAAGAAAGATTTATTATTGTCTCTTTTTGTATACATAGGTCTGGTTTTAGACGTTTGATTGCTAATGCTTCAGCAACTTTCAGGAGGTTGGAGCTTGATTTTTTATTAATCACCTTGAAGGACTTCAGTGTATCGACGCCGTGTCCTGTGTCAAGAAGATGTCTTGCGATGACACTGTTGAATGCTTTCAATTTATTTGATTTTAAACTTTTCGGAATATGTTCTTTGAAGCGGATGTAGGCTCTCCTTTCTGTCATTTTGGTCCTTTTTGAATAGTTCATTAACACGCTGTTAAATTTTGGTCTCTCATCATAACATTTTGTGATTGACTAACGCTAATGTTTTCTAAACTATAATATTTATGTTATTTATGACAATTCTTATCAATAATTTCCGAAAGTGTTTTTATTCTTTACCTTGACCTCTTTCTTACTCAGGGCTGCCTCATTAGATTAAAATCTATTTCAGATGTCATATTACACGTTAACATGTATTTTGGTTATGACCATATTTTTAGTGTTATGTATGTGAAGGTGTTGTTAAATTAGATTATCATAAGTGGCATACTTTATTGTATTTCAGAAAGTTTAAAAGATTATATTAAATATTTATTTAGTGTTATTCCTTGGTAGTACACACTTCAATTTATAAAAACTAATGTAGAACATGATCAGTAACTTTTCTGTTCACTTTCTTGATTCATTTCTATATTTATCATAGCTATATTTTTAGAAATAATACTTTCTTTATCGATCTTTCCAAGGATTATTCTCTTACTACGAAACTCAATTATCAACTTGGAGTATCCAGATTACACTTTTCTGTTTTTAAATAAAAAAGACGCTGATATTAATTTAACTTCTCAGCTGTCCGTCTTCTTAATTATTTCTTGTTGCGTGAATGTAATATCACGACTTTGGTTGATGTACGTTAGTTTCAGCTCCTACGTTGTTTACGACTTGGAACAACCTGAAAGCAATCATTTTGTCATACTATGTAGTTGTTGACTTAAAGTACAATTCTTCATTTGATTGAAATCACAAACGGATTTGAGTTAGAAAACCATTGAAAATCTAGAAGCAATGTAATGATTTAAGGCGTTATTCTTGTTGATATATCTTTCCAACGATAGATTATTAATATGATTTAAGTTGCTAAATGTCAATTATTGTTTGTTTGATTTAGATTAATAGCTGTTTACTTGCAATTGTTGTGACTGAGATGGTGGAGAAGATTTGTGGCTCAGATGGATGATTTTGATGGAGTTTTGTTTTCTGAGCTGGATGGTTTGGTCGTGGAGCTTTCATCGTCCGTCTGAACGACATCATCAGCACAAACTTCAGATAGAAGTTAGATTAGGGCTGCGTGAGGAAATTATCAATATATATGTCGAATGAATAGTTGTATCAGGGATAGTCAAAAAAAGGATTAGCAATAGCGAACCTAATTTCAGTAAAACGAATGAATTCCCACAATAAAAGGTATAAAACTAGTTTAAAATTTAGGATTTCAGGGTAGACAAATAGTGAATGCACCTACACTTTCCTATTTATTATACAGTGAGAATACAGAAAGCAGGTGCATCCATCTGACCACTCCCAAATAGGACGAAACGCGCGTCGTCGATTCCACTGCTACCCACCATCCATCTTTGCTTATAATAGAACGATTATGTTCCGAATGTTACCAACTTTAAAAAATGCATTTCCTAATTTGAAATTTATGTACAGTTAAATAGGACTAATAATTTAGTTAAAACGTTGAGTTTAGCACCACTGCAAACACTTGCTTAAAAGTACTATTTCGTAGTTAATATTACCATTCACTTGTTGATATGTATTGTAATTATTAAATTATCGAATAAATCATTCCAACATTCATTCTCATGAAGTATTGAGAGCGGTAGTTTATAATTTTGCCTATACGACACAAAACATACACCAACTACTTCACCTGATATCGTATATGCAAACATATGATTCTCTTGACAAAATCTACTCGTTTCCAAACTACTTATCAAAATACCATAAAATTGTGAATATTTTCGACAACATGAACCTATTATATAATCGGAATAGTAGCTATGTAGTTAAAACGTTCAACTTTTATCCACTAAAACTCATACTCGATAAGTACCCTGCCATGTCGCATAACTGCCTCTCACACTTGTGATGTGGCTCTAAACCAAGTACAAGAAAATGTCACTTTTTTAAATCAGTCGACTTAAATGTGATTGGGCTTTACTCAATCAATTCTTTAGTCAATAATCATACTTTGTTGTTCTCGTCTTTCATGTAGCTAACAATATTTCGTTGTTATCAATGGTAGCTAATTCAAAACTGCGTATCGGTACACATGATGGACGATTCCATGCAGATGAAATACTTGCATGTGCAATGCTTAAACATTTACCGGAATACTCAAATGCTGAAATTATACGCACAAGAGACTCAAGTATTTTGTCAACATGTGATATCGTCGTTGACGTTGGCGGTGTATTCAATGCTGAAAATCATCTATATGACCATCATCAAAGGTTAGCATTATAATTTGTTAAAATTAATTCAGCTTTTTTCCTCTTTTCTTTAAATCTTACTTTTTGTAGAGAATTCAACCTTACTTATAAAGATTTTTATCCGAATTCTGATTGGGATATAAAATTAAGTAGTGCAGGTTTGATATACGTTCATTTCGGTCAAAAAATACTAAGTTGTATACTTGGTATGGCTGAAAATACTATGGATCCATTAGTGACGGCACTTTTTGATAAGGTAGGTTTTGTACATTAAGAAATTGATTATTCCTGGATGCAATTTTCTTCCTTCAGAATTTGACAAAACATTTTCTCCCTTTATTTATGTTATTATAGATGTATAGTTCATTTATTGTTGAGATAGACGCTATCGATAATGGTGTTCCGATGGCAATAACACCTTTAAGGTTGTTTGAATTTTCAAATTGATATTTAATCATTTTGAATTCTAGATATTCTATGAATACATCTTTAAGTAGTCGAGTGAATCGTATGAATCCAGCTTGGAATCAATTGGATACAGATGAAACTGTAAGTTGATATACATGTCTATTTTTCCAAGATTACAAATGAAAGTCTACAGTATAATAATTCCGGTCTCAGAATGAACATCAACTCTGGGATGCAGACACACCTAGCTGACTAGTTTCATATGGGAAGAAGTGTGTGTCCTAGAGGTCTAATCCACAAGGCAGTGGAGCAACGTAAGGAGATGCAGTCCCATTGTAGTCGATGACCAACAACAGGTTCACACGCCATTTGTTCCCTCAGGATCCTAGAGCCCATATGCACCACTGGTTGGGAATGATGGTTTTAAAGCTCCCTTAGGTAGATCCTCCATATCCACTAACCTGGTTAAGGCATCGGACATTCGCTTTTCATTTTTTCAATTTTGTAAACAATAGTAATGCCGCGAGAAGGCAATGAGTAGGATTTTCTGGCGGAGGCTATATACTCGTGGCCATGTGAGATCATTTTCAGAGGGAGAGTTAACTCTTCCCACTTTCGACCGTACGAGGGCATTTTAGTAAAATAACTTCATACCAGTTGAAAAATTGAATCTAATTTTCGCTACATAATAAACTTTCTTACTTAATATAAGATTATAGTTAGACGATAACAACAATGAGAACATATCTGTCATCGTACTACAGTATTTATGTATTCCATTTTGTAATACATAAAGAAAACTATTCTTCATTTCAAAGTAAACATTATTTAACACTTAAGATTAACTTCCTTTTTAACGGTATATCATAGCCCATAGTACGATAAAAGTGTTCACGCGCGAAACCGGTAAGTCCTGGGTTCGAGTCTTGCAGGGGGCGATGTCGTGAATGCGCACTGCTAAGGAGTCCCACAATAGGACGAAACGGCAGTCCAGTGCTTCCAGGTTTTCCATGGTGGTCCAGCTTCAACTGACTCGTCATCTTAACCATTGAAATTACTATAATATACACAAAACCCATCTGATATTAAAATAAGAAACTGTAAATTTTGTAAGGGACTATTAGATTACTCTAAACATAATCATTTTTATATGATTAGTCTTGTTTTATACGATATTAATAATTTTTGTGTATATGTGTATATCCATTTATTTTAGATTTGTTTTCATAATGCATTACAATTAGTTGATAAAGAATTTATTACATTAGTTCATTTCTATGCTGATACATGGTATCCAGCTCGTGAAATTGTATTAAATGCTGTGAAAAATCGATATTCCATTGATTCATCTGGTACAATAATTTATATTGAAGGTACTGGATGTCCTTGGAATGCACATTTTTTTGAAATTGAAAAATCTTTATCATTAAATAATGTAAATGAAATTGAAAAACAGAATCAAATTCTATTTGTTATTTATCAACGTAAAGATAGTACATGGACTATACAAGCTATACCATTGGATGAGCATAATAATTTTTCACAAAGGTAAGTTTTTATTTATTTATTGTGAAATATGTATATTATAGTTGTAGTACCCATTAGTAACTAGTCTTTTTCAATGGTTAAGATCATGAGTCAGTTGAAGCTAGACCACCATGGAAAACTTGGAAGCACTGGGCGGCCGTTTCGTTCTATTGTGGGACTCTTCAGCAGTGCGCATCCACGACCTCGCTCCTGCGGGGTTCGAACCCAGGACGAAACGACCGTCCAGTGCTTCCAGGTTTTCCATGGTGGTCTACTTTCAACTGACTCATGATCTTAACCATTGAAATTACTATAATATACACAAAATCCATCTGATATTAACTAGTCTTTCTGTTGTATAATTTCTTAGTGATCGGTTAATCGTAAACTAACTATTGTGTCATTAGTTGATACACTTTGTTTTTAACTGTTCATCTATATTGAACTGGTTGTTTTTTTTGTACTTGTCTGTCCTGAGTTCATGGTTATTATTGAGCTTCTCACCTATAACTAGGGATTTTTTAAAATTCTAAACCAATCATTATTTATTAGTATTAGAGGTTTGTACAAATTATTGGATGTCATTTATATCATACACCGATCTAATTTAGATAGCCACTGAAAACCGAAAAGCACTGAACATATGATTCGTGCTTAGCAATGTGCGTCGACAAACTTACCGAGGACCAGACTCAGGTCTCGATGGCGGACATATGATGTGCATTACTGAATTCCAGCTCAGTGGTTTGAAGGTTGTGGTTGCGTGCGAGACCGGGTTCGATCCACGGTAAGGTCGTTGGTGCGCACTGTCGAGAAGTCGCATACTACTACTGTCCAGTGCTTTTTGGATTTCAGTGAATGTCTAAATTAGGTTGGTTCGTGATATTAATGGCTATTTGTTAATTATTGCATAATCATATATATATATATATATATATATATATATATATATATATATATATATATATATATATATATATATATATATATATATATATATGTATATATATATATATATTATTCCGGTGAATCCAACGTCATTTTTTTCGAATTTACATTATTTTAGACTTCCTCTACCTGAAAGTTGGAGAGGTTTACGTGATGAACAGTTAAGTAGTATTGTTGGGCTGCCTGATTGTATATTTGTACATTCTACTGGGTTCTTAGGTGTACATAAAACTCGTGACGGTGTTCTACAAATGGCAAGATTAACCATAAAAATGAAAGAAAATCAGTAACTTCTGTTCTCTTTTATCATTATCTATTTTTATCCTGGTTCCTAAAGCTAAAAAATACACGTATATGCTTTTTGAAATCTCCTTTCATCTTTTAAAGTATGATAGCGAGAGGGGTTTACTAACTGGATGATTGATCTCAAGTATATGATTGGAACAGTTACTTACTGGTTAAAGCAATTGGCTTTAACTAAATGTTTCAACCACATTCTGTTTACAATGGCCTAGACAGTCGGATATTATCACTGAAATGTACACAATTCGTATTAATTAAATGACGATCGCCTTATCAAAAAATCACTTACCAGATACATATTCATATATTTTACATCAAGACATCCGTAGTGGGCGAGGTAGTGATACATATCTGGTTGTTCAGACTAGACTGTGTAGGGCGTGATTCAAGCCTGTAATTACTAAGCTATCAACCATTAAGGCGACCAAATGAACCAGGAGTTCGTTGTCAAGCTACATTATTCTCAGTTGGGTATTTAAGTTGGCTTTTTTGTTTCACATCAAATTTCCTCAATATTGTGTATTTTGTTATCTATCCTGTAGTTGAATTAATTGTAAACATTTTTGTCTTAAAACCATTAAATTTAGTATCACTTAGTAGTATTCATAAAATCCGTTAACTCGTAATATATGCAAACTTGTGTATATCTTTGGATATAATAAAAACTGCAACTTCCTCAATCTCTCACTTGGACCTGTGACAGTTCTTCAGGTCGGACAATATATGAAACGTGTTCTAATCAGTAGAGTATTACTATCTTCGTTTGTTGTCATAACTACTATTAAAAGATCCTTCTCAGTCGTGAGCATATATCCAAACAATGTACAACAGTAAATTCCTTATTTTCAGTTAGAATTTGTGGTTGGATCGAAGCTAAAAGGGTCCATGTGACGATATTAGTTAAATACTGGAACTTCAAGTTATTACTCATGATTTTGAACTCATTAAAGTCGTACAATGTTAAATTATGAGTGATTTTGGGGTTAATATGTAATGATATTAGTATTCATTGAACATTAGACTAACTGTTCTACCGTATATAGTGTATCCATACAAAAAGATGAGACCTAAACATAACAATAATAATGAAATGATAAGTTGCATAATTACCGAAAGTTGTTTGCTTATTATACATAATTGAGTGATATTAAACATTTTATGTCATTTCTATATTTGCTAATATGATTGATCAAAAACTTGACCTTACTGAAACAGGTATTTCTTGAACAACATTGTGAAGCTCGAGTGATTGTCTGACTATTGATGTTTTCTATGAAATTGTCTTATCGAATGTGTCAGATAATCAGAACACTTGAAGAGAATAACATTTGTAGATTTGTTCAGTGAGTACGTGATGCTGTCGATAGGAACACTTCAAACATATAAGTGTTTTATGATCCTTTGAGCATGATTTGCTTGGTATGTTTTGATGAAAAGTTATTTCACAAGGTTATCATGAATCTCATTCATATTAAGTGAACTATTCTATTAATTATAATAAGTGGAATGAAGAATATCGTGTGGTGAACAAAATCTTGAGAACTATAATTTACTGATTTACTCGTTACGTACGATTAGTGCTTGAAAAAAAATATGTAAGTGGATGACTCTATTTGGATGTAAAATTGAAAAGGCTTTCAAGTACTTATAATTGATCCTATGATTTATTGTCTTTTTGGTAAGATATATAATTGTCTCATTTGTTTAAATAAATTGTTCTGCTAGGTTTGATGGGGATACACTATAGTAGCTGCGAAATAGTTTTTATGAAGAGAATGACCAATTAAGCGATTATTAGAGCTACAAAAACTTAGTCATCTATAAGCAACATATAATCTAGAACAATATTGCACCACTTCACGTCATACTTCATCAACACAAGTAGGTGAAATTATCACGATCGATATCAAAGTAGAGTTAGTGGCAGTAAAAAATGAAATTAAGGTATGGAATAAGCTTAGGATTTTCGGGTAGGAAAAGATTATATACATTTACTCCATTGAGACTGATATCACTCAACTACTAGTCGTTATAATCCCTCATCTCAAACATACTTGGATTGTTGCTATCAATGGCGTAGGTGTATACACTCTCTCTCTTCCCTTAAACTATGAGATTAAAATCGTTTCATATCTTTCTACGTACTAATTATTTCTTCCTGTACTATATCCTTATATGCAATAATTTTTTAAAAATTTAACGCCATTGAATTAACTACTTCTGTGAATCCGGTGTTCATCCTGCTGTGCTAATGAGATATGACAACTTGGACCGATGCATATATGTGCCTGGTTCTACGTTGTAGCTGACTGACTGCTATCAGGAAACTCCGGATTTTGTCAAGTTCTTCATTAAACAGGACGAATTCATCTGTATTCTAAGTTCTGTAATTGGAATTTCTCTGAATAGTTAGATAAAGAAGGTGTGATTTGTATGAGTACATACACCGCAAAACTAAGTAGAAGTAGAGAAACCAGTCGGTCTTGATTAGCACCACTTAAGACCGATCTCAGCTACTATTTGACAAACAGTGATCTATGATAGTCTCCACAAATGACAAACATTACTGCAAAACCCGTCGATTAACAAAGTAAAATCCTATCATTCTGTCAAGAAATACCATTGTTGTCGAGGATATTAGTTAACATAATAGATAAGTCAGAACTGTTCCATTAATTTTTTACTGATGATATTAAGTAAGGACCATCCTGTGTTAGGAAGTAGTCAAGATTTGAAATGTAAACCGATTCATCATGTATCATCCTTACTGTAGGATTTAAAAAGGCTGGGGTTTAATACAATATATGATTTACAGGTGCACACAACTGGTCTTAGGACGTTTCTCAACTGGTCTTGTTACATGAAGAGAATTATTTTCATAATGGATGAAAAAGGAACCGAAACAAACCGTTTGTATAATTTGGAATGTGACATGAATTTTGTTATAACCGAAAATAGGGTTTGGGGTCCACGACTCTCAACTTCACTAGACCATTCTATGAGTAGATTGTAGAATCAACTACTAGGCTGAGTATTAGACCACGTAGTACACCACACTCAGTTATCTTACTGGCAACCAAGAACCCGAAATAGGTTACAATAACAGTATATTATCACATATTCCAAATCAGTAAACAAGTGGAGTCAGAGTGAACGAAAGCGAAATCAGTTCTACATATAAGATGGCGTATTATACTACATATGACCGGATACGTCTGTCTTCGCTTGTTGGCTAATCACTGTTTACTTTGTCCAGCATATAATATTTAATACGATGTTAGTGTATATTCATCATACGATACAAAATGAAACAACAAAAATACTTTGATCTTATTCACCCTAGCATACTTGGAATAGAAAGAGTACGGTACAGGGATGAGCTTAAAGCAACCGCAAAGAGTTTTCATGCACTTCGCAGCCAATCTGAAAACATCCTCCGTAAGTAAATATAGCTTATAGAAAACAAAACAGTAATACTAACAGTATAAACAGATTTTACAAAATCAATGGATTTTTTTAGGTTTTCTACAGGTTACTTCTCTTGTGAAATAACAATAACATGTAGACTTATGGACACAAATTATCCGTTTCCTCGAATTCTTATAAGGGCCTAAATAGATTTGTAAAAGTCCCACATTCTTAGAACTTTCAATAAGAGCTGACATCAGCCGCAATGCAGAACTGCTCTTTAATCATGCGGATAAGTGTGTATTTCGTAAAAAAACATGGTTTAATTAGTTTACCATAAGCTATAGTGCCACCAGGTTAATATTTGTCTCAGTGTCTGGAGTTAAGATCCACGCATAGTATCAAGCTGCCTGTTAAACAAAATCTGCTTAATACGTCTAACATTAACAGGTTTGGACTATGGTGGCAAAATGAGTTTCTCATAATCATTTTAAATGTTTTGAGAAGCATACAAAGATATACATAACATTTGGATTTCGACCAAAAGCCTAAAAGTCACATTTTTTATTCTGATTGACTCATCCCCTACATCATACTTTTGGCTTTCATATCCAATATTCGAATAGCTTAGCGTATTTTTTGTAAATATCCTGCCTCGAGGAGTCCCAAAATGAGACGAAACGGCCATCCAGTGCTTCCAGGTTTTCCATAGTGGTCTAGCTCCAATTAACTCACGATCTCAACTATTGAAATTACTACAATCTCCACAAAACCCCTTCTGATACAAATTATTAAGTGATCATTTATCAGTTTAGTTTGCCTAAGATTGAATAAAAGAAAAGCAGTTTGGTAAGTAAGTTTTATTGCAAAAGATAAACAATACATATTTTGATAGGAATAATAGTAATAATAACAGTACAATAAGAATAAAATACATTTTCTTTCTTATTTTAGCCTTTAAATAACCCAAAATAGAAAATAATGATAATCAGAATTATAATATTGTAGTAGTAAATGCAAGAAGAAAGATAAATTGAATCTTGTATACAACTAGACATAGAATTGAGATAAAAATTGAATCTCTTCTGGGTTCTACATAATAAATATACATAAAGTTAGTTATAGTTAATCAATAAAAGCAAAACAAAAAGTTGTATGAGAGAGAGAGAATGATTATCATCCTCATTTTATAAAACGTTTATTTACATTGTTTAACTTTACGCTGCATTTTCATATACCAAGGTGTATTTAGATGTTTACGTCTCTTCTTCACGTTGTGATGTAACTGACGTGTTTGTTGCTCGGTACTTTGACCAGAGATATTTTGTTGTCGTTGTATATGGTGTTGATGATATATGGAACTTTTCAATGGTGGGAATTTGATTTTTATACCTTTATACGTTATTTTACATTTAAAACAAAGTTAAATGAAGAGATAAAACTGACTAACTAATCAAATTAATGAAGTGTTAACTAAAAGTACAATTATCACTACTTTTAAACTATTACTGGGTAATAATTCGCGTATTTAGCTTCGATTCACACAGCAAATATGAGTGTTAGCGAAAGCACTAACTAGTTGTCCAAATTAAAGTAGATGAGACGGGGTTCGAACCTAAGACCTAGAGTCTGAATATCAAACAAATTAACCACTAAGTCACTACTCAGTCAGTCAGCTACAACGTAGAACCAGGCACATATATGCATCGGTCCAAGTTGTCATATCTCATTAGCACAACAAGATGAACACCGAATTCACAGAAGTAGTTAATTCAGTGATGGTAATATATTAAATAAAGATTGCATATAAGGATATAGTACAGGAAGAAAGAATTAGTTCGTAGAAAGAAAGATATGAAGCGATTTTAATCTCGTAGTTTAAAGGAAGACAAAGAGTGATAGATTCTGGGCCATATCACCAAGAGTTTCCAACCATTGGTTACGATAGTCACGCGGACCCCAACCAAGTAATCTCAGACCAGAGGTTAGTGACTTCAAGCACTGATGCCACGTTTTTGTTTGGCCACCCCTAACTCTCTTCCAACCATCTCCAACACTAGTTAGCATTGCGCGTCGTGGTAATCGGTGTTCAGGCATACTACACTTGTATAAAAAATAATATAGTTTATAATATTGCATAAAAAAGCAGAGAGATGAATTAGCATTAGTTAATGACCTAATAAATATAATAACACAAAAAAATTTATAACTTTTGATTAAAACTATGAATTTTATTTTATGAATTACAACAATGTAGGTAACTATTTGTACATTGACTTTATTTAATAATTAATTAATTAATGACTATTTGTATAAATAAACAAAAATAATTGGTCACGTTTATTCAGCTTTTATTGATTTCATTTCACCTATAGAGTAACCATTATAGAAAACTATAGTAAGATTATCAATGATGAATCGTTTCCACCATATTTGATTCTGTGTTAAATTCAATATAAATATCATTCGATTTATAGTATTATTCCATAAATGAATTATCTTTAAAGTATATTCCATGTATTCTCAATATCAAGGAAGTCATGTTTAATTTGAAAGCTTCTAAGATACTATACGTGAAACGTGTTCGAACATCAAAAATGGATATATGATTATTAGGTTACGATCTTGATTATGTCGGAATGCATTGGACTTTATTATAATGGGTATTACAGACATAAGTGGTCAGTGAGAAAATTGTCTATTATCTACGGTATCAATAAACAAAATTTTAGACAGATAGAATAAAATTGATCATATTGAGGAATTGTGAATTCAACTAACTAACTTACATAATCAACCAGATAGATGAACTATTCAATTATTTCCGTCAGCTCATTATTAAAGATAATTACAAAGCATAATTTTTTCCTAGTGTTATGAAGTTACGCCGCATCACAATATTAAAAAGTACATGTCATATTTACAGTCACTTTTAACCAACCAAGTAAGTTCAAATACTCCAAAATTTTTAATACAGATTAGGATTTATGAAGATCTATCACAGAATAGTAAGTCTTTTGAAAACTAAATGAGAAGAGTATTAAATGAGTTCTTGTTAGTATTAGAAGTTTTTCAAAAAACGAAAATATAGTAGCTAACATTATACAACCACCGATGTGGATAAACTATAAATGAACCATATACAAAGATAAGCAAAATTAATCAAAAGTTAAGAGCATCATATTTATAGTAACAGAAGCAGTATTGCTCCAGATAAAACATATCATATTCAATTTTATATATGCTCAGAACTGCAAAAACAAATACAAAGAAATGACGGGATGGTGGCTATCTACAGGCTTCACTGAATCAACATCCCATAGGAGCAAAAAATATAATCATTTAGACTGCATGTGACTTTCTTTCGAAAAAAATATCAATGCATTCAATACTATCGACAAGCAGCATACTCCTTATCTGTAAAAAATTTCAGATAATATAACAATTAAAAGACTAAAACTTGACATGTATGTTGAAAAATGTCAGTAGTCAATTTGCGTTGTATGGTACTTATGTGGACAGACATAAGTAGTATGTAACACCAATCAGAAGTTGAAAGCTTATCAAAAGAAGGTTGAGAAGATTTGACTGAAGAAAACAGAAAGGAATACATAAAGCAACTGAGAAATGGAAGAATTACGAAGGACGTAAAGGACACTTGATGGGAGATTTGCAAATGAAGTATTTAATGTATGGTTTTTACATTTTACGAAAGAACTCGGTAACTTTTCACTAAATAATAAATTTGTTATTGTCAGAACAAGGGTTTGTGGAAAATGTAGTCATTTAATAGTTGAATTCATAAGTCCATTTAAACTAGACCAACTTAGTGAGTATATGTGACCAGTGGAGTCAAATCGTGTCAGTTGTGACGCAGTTACTTAAGACAATAATGGACGGTCGCACAATATCATGGATCGTTTGAAGTTAAACATTAACACGATTAGATTCTGACTCAGTAACCAAGAGGTTAAGAATTCACGCGCGACACCCAAGGTCCTGTGTTCGGGTCCCGCACGCAGGATCGTGAATATGCACTGCTGAGGAGTCCCATACTAGGACGAAACAACCGTCCAGTGCTTCCAGGTTTTCTAGGGTGGTCTAGCTTAAAACGACTCATGTATTCAACTACTAAATAAATTGGTTGTCTCCACCTGAGTTCTCGTTCAGTACAAGTCTTCCACTGCTGATATATATATATATATATAATTGTTACTAGACTGTCAGCCAAAGGTATCAACTTTGAAGGCTTACAATAACTTGTGGAGTTCAAGAAGAGATCAAACGGACAAAGAATTGGAACTCAAAAAAATCACTTTAAAACTAATCAATGAGTACATTACCATGAAATTTATTTGCTTCAGTAAAATCCATTCTATTTCCTGGAAAAAATTCATGTATACATGATAAATTATCATATTGATAATAATAATAATAATAATAATAATAATAATATAATAATAATAATAATAATAATAATAATATAATGGTAATAATAAAACATACAACTAACCCATTAATTGTGTTTTTCCTTTAGCTCGTAAATCAAGTAAATATTTAATTTCATGTTTAATTAATTCTTCTTCTAGAAAAGAAAATGGAGTAAATGACAACAACAACTTACTATACAAATTCTCCATAAAATGTTTCCCTTGTATACCAGTGAAATATCTTAGAAATGGTTTTAATTTTTCATTTAAATAACTGAAATAAAAAGAAAATTAATTCATGAAAGATATTATGTAAGATAAAATTTTAAGAACAGGTAGACAAAACTTCAAATAGACTTCTATATTACTGAAAGTGTTAGTTTACTACACATGATCTTAGCTCAGAGAGCCGAGAAGCGTCACAACTGACGAAGATTTGGAAGATGTAAAAACCTTTACATATATGGGCAGCATCATTGATGAACATGGTGGATCAAATGCACATGTGAAAGCACGGATCGGTAAAGCAAGAGCAGTATATTTATAATTGAAGAACATCGTGGACTCAAAACAACTGTCAACCAACACCAAGGTCAGGATTTTCAATAGAAATGTCAAAACAGTCCAACTGTATGGAGCGGAAACTTGGAGAACTACGAAAGCCATCATCCACAAGATACAAGTGTTTATTAACAGTTGTCTACGCAAAATACTTCGGATCCGTTGGCCAGACACTACCAGCAACAATCTATCGTGGGAGAGATCAAACCGGATCTCAGCGGAGGAAGAAATCAGGGAGAAGAGCTGCAAGTGGATAGGACACACATTGAGGAAAGTACCTCACTGTGTCACAAGACAAGCCCTCAATTGGAATCCTTAAGGCCAAAGGAGGAGAGGAAGACCAAAGAACAAATTACGCCGAGAAATGGAGACAGACATGAGAAGAATGAACAACAATTGGATCAAACTAGAAAGGAAGGCCTAGGATAGAGTGGGATGGAGAATGTTGGTCGGTGGCCTATGCTCCACTGGGAGTAACATGCGTAAGTAAATAACCAGCGAAATCATAGGTCGATTTTATGCTTTCTCAATGTTTAGATAGAATATACCTTTTTTCCCATGTCATGTAAGTGATTAGTAACTGGCATCAGTTAGATTAGTTTAAAAATGATTCCTAACTTTGAATTAAGAATATGATTAAAACTTTAAAATAATAAGCATATGTCTACCGAGAGACACTATTTTCTCGGGACGAAATTCTCATTTTTACTGAATGTTTGTGGACTGAGTTTTATTGTTAAACACTCTCTATCATTTGGATCAGCTGGTTTGGAATTATACTAACAACCTTACCTCGTTGATTGTTTCATTATTCATGGGTATATTTCAGCCACTTCATACGATATGTTGAAATATCTGTGAACTATGAAAAGTGCTCAATGCAATCAATCAATAGGCAAGGTTATGTGACCTTAAATAATGTAAATATTAGATTTTCTAAAATGTACATACGATAGTATGAAAACTATTACCAATCTATAACGTGAAATAGAATGCTTATTCAAGTTGCCATAAACTGAAGTAATGATAATTGAATTCAGTAACGTTTGTGGGTGAACACCAACAGTGTTCACCCTAGAGAGAACATCAATATGTTGTCATGATACAATATTACTAATTACAAACTTACAATCCATTGAAATCTTCCAATGAGTTTGTTGATTCAACTTTGTAGATATTAGTTGGATTTATACTTTTGGAATCGGTTAGCACTTGATTATTTACAACATTCGATGAGATATTGACTACAATTGGTGCACCTTTTATCAATTCAGATGACTGAACAATAAATGGAGCAGCAAGCCAACTACTTGGAGAAGGCTTTTTAGATGAACTTTTACTCAAAGATTCATTAATGCTGGATAGTTTTTTCATGGGTGTTATTTTACTATTTAATTTGTTGTGTGATATATTTGTCAATGATGGTGGACGTCCACGATGTTTACTTCTGGCAGGTTTATATTCCTTTCCAATGTGTTTTTCTACTACAGGGATACGTTTTTTACACGTTTTTTCAGAATAAATGCTAGAATATGAGGAATCAAAGCATGCTCACAAGCAATTTCTTTGCGCCTTTGACGCTCACGCAACCTTTGCATGTAAATATTGACTTGTGCTACTTTTAAAGCTAAAAAAATATTGGACAATTACAAATATTTCAGTGAATAACAAAGTAAGTATCTGATATTTCGAGAAATGGCTAATACAGTAATAACTAAGAATCGAAACATATACGAACAAACCAATACCAAAAGTAATGAATAAAAATAAACAATATTAATTCCAATGATACAGTGACTTATCCTTCTTTGAAAAAAAATATTTTCTTAAAAAGATTATTATTGCTGAACAACTGACCATCGTCTATGGGTAATCAGTTTTTTAATTCCTTTTAGACGACCAACCGCCAGATATATATGAAGATGACTCGGTTTCATATAAATTTAGGACGATTATGTAAGCTTTAAAATAAGACAGATTCGATTAAAGTGAAATATCCCGATATCTTAGTTATTTTTTATAATTTGGCGTCAAAGTAAATCAATGCTAACTAGGGAAAGTGAGGAAATGATTCAGTAATCGAAGCATCCAACTTTCAATCATTATGTTAGAACCTCAAGACCCTTTTTAGTTTCGGGTAGTCGATTTGTATAATTGGTCTTTACAGAAAACAGTTTGGTTCTAAATCAAGTGTGAAGACCCATACTTGATCCGCTATGCATAACCACTCCTATGAATCCGCTGTTCATCTTGCTGTGCTAATGAGGTATGGCAACCTGGACCGATGCACATATGTGCCTGGTCCTACGTTGTAGCTGACTGACTGACTGACCAAATATGCAAAACTTACAAAATAAAGGTAAAATAATATAAATATTATGATAGAGTTGTGAGATCATTGGTTAAGGGTGTAGTTTTCACTAATGAATCACAGGTAAGAACTCCGTTTCATCTATTTCGGTCCAGATAGTTAGATGGTACAGATTCAGACATACACAACGCAGGGATCAATTCATAGTAGATGAGATGAGATTTACCCCACGATCCAACGATTAGAGATCGCATCTCCAAACCACGAATTTCCACCACGCAATTCAATGAATTTATACTTTAAAGTATTTCTGGATAGGATTCTTTTTATCCCATAAGTGTAAATAAGTTATAATTAGGCAACTAAAATAGCAGTTTTTATCAGGAGAGTATAAGATAATGTAACATTATGCCATTATCTACTAATTATTAAAATTTGGTCAGCTATTATACAAAAGATTTTAACTCCCTAAGACCTGATGATATCCACCACAAAATGAATTTCATTTACACAACATCATAACACGACTCAGTGATTGACATTTTATGTTGTCTCATGCAATGCCTAGTGGAGAGCAGTTAGTCATACATTCAAATGGTGAAGTGGTTGCAGCGAAATAAGTTATTTATTCATCATAAATAAAACATTTATTAGGAAAGACTTCAATATTGTTATCGGCATATTTATCTTTTCTGAAGTAAACGATGCATTTTAGTTTCCAAAATACAGATTTATTTAAGACTTGATTGAAAACTAAGTTTCCGAGTATATCGGTCTTTTGTACACACTAAAAAGTTGTTAACGTTTTATATTTTTAATATAACCTTTTCTCACTTATGTCCTTTTTCATGAAATATTATTATATAAATAAACGACACTACCACTTTAATTATTATACGCCCTGTGATAATTTAAGTCAATGGTGTATTTCTACACAAGAAGCTATACATGTATTGTTTTATTCTCCTCCTAGTAAGATCATAACTTAGCCACTATTAATTAATGTTGTGAAATAAAAAAACAACGTAAAACTTGTATATTTTTAAGAAATTAAATAACCAATTTTTATAAGGATGTTATTTTCACATGACATCAGTCCAATAGAGAAGTGTTCAAGTACGAATTCAATCCTTTATTTTTTATAGAGACGAATGTCAGTTAGGTTATCTGTTAATATGAGTAACCGATCACTTTCTAGATGCAATCTAAAATACATCTATAAGAGTGGAAGTGATTAAGAGTTTGATCCCCAGGTAATGAACTGGCAATGATTAACTGATGAACCAATATTTTGATTTTAATGTTGCTTTCTGGGAATAACTTCGTCTGTACATCCCTCGAACAAAACGTCAGGGTATTTTATTAGAGGTAGCTTGTAATTTGTAAACATCAAAAATATCTTCTACTTTATCTAGGACCTAATCCATTATGTGTGTTTCCCATAGGTTTGTACTTCGAGAAAATACTACCTTCCTTTTTTAGTTTTCGGATCCTTTAATTTTTTTCACTCTTATTTGTTTTCGGTAACATTCCACTTGAATACCCTGGTACGTTTTTAGATGAGACAAAAAAGCCCAACACTAGGTTATATATATATATATATATATATATATATATATATATATATCACAGGAAGTTTAGATTTTGTCAACTAGGTTAAAATAAGACGCAAACAACTGGAATCGAAATGTCTATCAGTCAGTCATGATCAGTGTTGCACCTAGGACAAATGTGAATACGTATTGAGAATATAGTTTAAAAATTGGGGTACGTATGAAGACATACGAGAGCTCAAGATTAGAGAAAGGTAGGTGTATGCATCTAAGTCATCACGACATTTTGAGTCATGTCCCCAAAGTTTTCAGTCACTGATTGCGGTTGTTGCGCAAACCTTAAAATGGTAGTCTGTATCTACCAAAACGGGTCAGACTATGGACCGACGTTACGTTTCGGTTTGGGAGCCCCTTGTCTTCTATCAATATGATATTATTCAAATAAACATCACTCGTCTATGCGAAGTGATTAGGTCTAGGAAATAGTTTAGGTCTATTAATGCTTATTTTTTAAAGTTTGATACAACTAACTAGTCATTAGTAAGATGAGGGTAAAACGGTTTCTAGTCAGGTACGAAATAGAGCAGTTACAAAGATCCATAGCTACTACAATAAACTATTTTAAACCACATACCGTCCTCTAGGTCATCATGAGAAAAACTGGGATGTAATCTACATAGTATGCTCTCAGCATCGTTGTCATAATCCTATAAAAAAATAGATAAACGAAAGTGGCTGAACAAAACTAACTCGTTCAAAGTCACCACGGTTTGGCATGTAACCCAACAGCTGTTGATCTTCAATATCAATATATGATGAGTGTGGTGGTTGCATAGGAGATAACACTACGCGGTTTGTGTGATCTGTAATTCGAGAAGGATATTTATTATCATTCAACAACTCCAGGCCAAATACTCCACCCAAATAGCGATTACAGTAATGATACATGCATTCTTCAGAGCTTTTAGTTCCCACTTTCAAAGCTATATCCTCCCTTAAAAAGTAAAGTGAGTGGAAATAAAAACACGTACCAATTTCCAATTCCATACTGCTCCAATGCTTCAAGAAGATTCAATTCCTCCTCAGAACTCCAACCCTCGAGAATAGAGTGTGGCAGCAAATTTAGTCTCTACTTTAATTAACAGAGGGATTACAGAATATTTACCGAAACTCGATAACCATGATTTTTCTTGTGTATTCCAGACTCAGCACCGTAACAGTAGCACTGCAAGTAACAATGAGTTTACAAAACTTACGGCAACACATAGCTGTACGCAATCACATTCAACACATATAAGATGCACATCAGCTTGTTTCAAACAGTTCGAGCATATATTTTCTCTCGGGATTGTGGACATCTATATTAATACTATCAAAAAAAATATATCCACTATAAAAGATAATGTTAATGTTTTTAAACTGAAAAGTGGATGCTTTCGAAAGATATAGAGGAATTTATTTTTAAGACCTAATATCATAAATAACTTCAATTTGTCTCATAAAGCAGTAAAAATTAATTTTGTTGAGTACCACAGGGGTTCATTCTAGGTCGTTTACTGATTATACTTAATATAAATGAAGTCTTACGCATCATTATCTCATATGTTACGTGATGGTGATATCAAAGTCTGACAGGCAGAAGAGGCTGATATACATGCACTCAAGGCCAATGTAGACAATTTGACAAGTTGATCTAATTTCTGGCTAATACCTATCACTGCAGCCAAGTATATCTACATACAAATTACGCACGTAAATGTCAGTAAATGCAGCACGAGGGAAGCGTCAGTGCATTTAGTCCTGCATTATATTGATTTAGGAGTCATAGTAAGTCACGACGAACATGGCTCACATATGTTGGGTTGTAGATAACGATTTTAGAACTAAGTGTGGGGTCAAAGACATGCTTTCACCGATAAATACGAATATTTGTAATGAAGTTTACACAACCCTAGTGGTCGAAAGCAAAAAGCTGTGAACAGGCCGTACCACTTTGTTTAAAAGATAGTTCATATCACTGAGAAAAGTAGAAAGGACAGTTATAAATGCAATCAAACAGCTGCGTAGCTTACCGACCTCAACACCGCTTGAAAAGTTAGGCTTCCTTTCTTAAGCGTAGATTAAAAGATAGACTGGTCGCAGCGTAATATACAAAGAACTTGATTTAACAATCTTTTTTTTCACAACTGAAGACGGATTGGAGGACATATTAGTCTGTTCCAGAGACCAAGAGAACACACGAAATACCTATGACATGTGAACTTTTACATTTAGTAGTCACATTTGGGAGACTGACCAAGAGAAATGATGTCCTAACCCTTAATTGACATATTTGAAGACACATGGAAGCTCATCAAAAAGATCAACCGACGTTCTTGGCTCTTGATATATAACCACGTGCAGTTTCTTGAATAAGGCTTTAGCAGAGATGGGAGCGAGAGACTGGCCTGAAACTCGAACACACCAGTTTTGACTATTTCTGCATATGTCTACCACTCCGAAATTGGTTCCCTTCCCCGCTCTACTACTTACACAATTATGATAACCATGCTCTCCGCGATCTCTTTTAGCACGATTTAACTATATATAACCAACTCATTATTGCAAAATCAATCTTTGAAGAATATAAAACGAATCGAATTACATGCCCAGTAGTCATATACAAGGACAGATGCAGAAGGACAACTGGATTTACCGCGGCGGAGTTTTACGCTACTGGAAAACGAATATTCAGGAAAACCTATTTCCTCAGGAATCAGTCTAAGTGAGTCAACTTATCAATAGAGATATAACAACCAAGGAAGTCATGACAAGGTATGGAAAGGTGGTAGACGAAAGAATTGCCTTTTAAGCCTAATTTTACCATAGGAGGAATCAACGCAAATGTGTACCTCTTGCAATGAAGTCAGGAAGGAATCATCCAACTGCGGAAGGTGTAACGTAGCACATATATAGCGCGCCTCCAGAACAGAATCCAATGCGGTGGTCTCAAACATGAATAGACTGAATAATTTCTCCGCGCTCACTTCTAATTATTTCGGTACGTCTACAGTCATTCGGTACTGTACAAAAAATTGCAGTTCAGCAAATCGAATCCACTCATTCAAGTTGGTCCGGTAGTTGTGTGTGGATGTACATTTCTTTTAATACATATGAATCCCTTTGTCTTAGAGCTGAAGGGTTTCTGAACATCAGCAGCTATCACATTACTAGGTAGGAGATTGGTTATAATATGGAAAATAATGAAGTGAAAACTTGGGTTCTGCAAAAAGATGACTGTTTCACGAATGACAGATAAATTATGAAGTTGTTAGTGTGTAAAAAGGAGTTGGGGAACTGTGAGAGGAAACGGGGTTGATAAAAGAGGGATAGGAAGTAGTTAATTATTAACGTTGGCGTAAACCATGGTAATTCATGGGACATGCACCAAGTACGGCTGATTCGAGAGGCGAGTTGTTATTCACGGTTGAGTAAACATTTCTCAAGTCTCCCCTTGAACTTATGCATAGAGGTTACTGTAGTTACAGAGCATCTCAAATGAGGGAAACTCGTTGTGGGAAAATCCGAGGGCGTAACTGGGTGTTTGCTCTCCTATGTACAGCCTTTCGAAGGTTGTCACGTGGAATATGGTGCTGATGTCTTTGTAGTATACCCGTGTTGGAGTGGTTCGAAGCACTTAACGTTGTGTGCCATTGTCAAATCATCAATTATTCTTCTTTAGCTCTTCGAGGATAATCACACGTGGTCTAGTCTGTCCTCAAAGGATTTATGTTTCAGCACAATCACTCAATTCATTCCTCTTTTCCGTATTCCGTCCGAGATGTTCATGACACTTTTGACGAGAAAAGTCAAAGACATTGATATACCCTGCATATGTTTCAAACAGTGTCAGGAACAACTCTGTGATGATTGTGCCAGTGTCTACACGTAAAGTAGGGAGTTGCGTTTACATTAACTGCATCTCCCAGTGCAGTTTGAATTGATGTCCAAGCTTACCGCGCTCACAAGCCCGAAATAACAAACTGAGGAGACAATCGGGGGCGCATTTTCATGGAGTGTGTAGGTTCTTTATGTAAAATAAGGTATCATGTTTATGCCATGGCATTTCGACAAGTTTCACCTCATTATCTACGGCTCATTCCTCTATTATCGTGTGGCTCTTTGGATGTTCGAATGAATCCGTTTCACTTTTGATGGACTACCATATTTTTGTATCCCCTGCAAAAATAAGTGCTTTCGCGCTAGTTTTATCTACTAGGTCGTTAATAAAGGTCAAGGACAAGGGTGAACCTAAGGTTTTTCCTTGTGAACCTCCTAACATATAGGCCGGTCGACCTGCGTGCACTGTACTTGCCTCATTACGAAACATCCTGTTCTCCAGGTACCTTCGGAGCCAAGATTGAAAAGGAACAGTGAAACCTTCGCAATAGGAGATATATAAGGAAACAGGCCGACATTCCCGAAATTAACTGGAATAATAAACCTACCCCACAATCACATAATTGCCATGATTTTGTTATGTAATCAGTAAAACTTTACGGAGAATTCACATCATCCTTCATATTGACTTGTCCTATTGTACCACTGAGTAATATGATGCTTAGCTATTTTGAAGTACATAGTTGGCCTGGCGCAAAATATGAAACGAGGTGTACAGAACAAACTGTGGAACACATATGAAGAAATTCGAACTCTTCACTTCTATCTGAAGTTTGTGCTGATCATGTCGTTTAGAAGAACGATGAAAGCTCCACGACCAAACCATCCAGCTCAGAGGACAAAACTCCATCAATATGAATTGTAATATGTTATATAGTTATTACGTCAACCCAGCTGTACCAAATGGATCAAGTGTTTCTGCGTTCATCATTTTTAACCTTTAATGATAATAATAATAATTTATTCTCAAATAACAGTTTGTTACATGAGGCATGCCAATTTACAGGCAAGATCAAATTGATACAAATGATACAATATCCACTGTAGCAAATTACGTAGCTGGGCTGATAATTTATGAGATATGAATATAGATGGTTTTAATCAGTACCACAGTTGGCGCGCTTCATGAAAGTTGCGTTGCAAATGTGCAACTGATGGACAAGGATAGGTTCATTGAAGGTGGGAGCTTCTAAATGTCGTAACCTTATGTCACTTTGGAATGTCCAAGGCTTTGAGGATGGTGCAGGATGAAATCCTTCGTTCCATATCACAAGGGAGCTGAAAGAGGGAGCAAGTAATAGAAAGGACGAGAGGCAGATTAGCCAATAATCATGAAGGAATGCTTAAGGTATGATTACTCAGTCTAATTTTCTTTTATTAAGGTATTTGTTAAGAAAGAGCATTTTAATAGGTTAAAGAAAATAAGTGTTAACAAGGTGTGAGTGGAAATACAACTGACAAATGGAGGCGATTCGGAAGCGAGGTGAGAGTATGGGATTATGTGTGATTATAAAATAAAATATAGTGCTAGGAACAGTATTGTGATATACAATTGGCTATCTTCCTTTTATTATCGAAACTATCAGAGCCCTCTTCGTTTTTTTTTGTATTATTATTTTTTTCCAGGTATTATAGGGTCTTGAGTAGGCTTCGTATATTAGCGAATTGTCTGGTTTGCTCGTAATAGGATTACTGAGTAGGGAGTGATGTAAAATGTTCTCAGTTTGCCACCAAGGATCGCACGGTTGTGAACCAACTCCGCTACATATTTTAAACTTGTGTTGCTCTCTTCTTTCGCAATGTAGCACTCATCCTACTACTTTATCCGTGGTGTTGGGTGATAGCCATGTTTCAATGAAGGTCCATGATCTTCGAAACTAACCGCAAGTTCGTGTTTCCGACTTCTCCTAGTTTATTCTTTAGTCCTCCAACGTTGTTTTAGAAGCACTTGATGGTTGGTGTCATCACCTGGTGCTCTTCCTCAGATACATCTGTCCTTTGGATTTCAGGTAGTTTGTTGCTCAACGTCGGTTGATCAGTTCCGTTAGAGATAGCCACCATAAGCACTTTTTCTGCATAAAATGACTTATTACCAGGATCGTTGACTGTGTCCTGTACCATGGGTCGCTGTTCAAAGTCAATAGACATCTAGGTGTTTTGCTCGACTCTTCTAACGTTGTTTTACCAACCTTGGTTAGCTCTCATTACATTTGATGTGCTGCAAAAATAATCTGTTGAACTATGGTCAACCTCATCCTAAAATTGTAGATTTGTCGTGATATAACTGCCCAATATATAAGATCTTACGTGGAAGCCACATCATCGTCAACACCAACTGATTGAATCGTAACAACCACCAATACATGTTGGATAATACAAGCTTAGGATAGGGACAGAACAATATATTTAATATGAGTAAAAAATATAAGGTAACATTCAACAGGGACCACTCCTGCAAGGCCGAGCCTTGCCATCCGATCAATTCGAATTCATTCAATTCATTGTTCCCCCATACTTCATCGTCGGGTTTTACTCCGCGTTAAATATTGAATGGCTATTTCCCCATGTTGAGCTTTGAGAACTTTGTAGTTAGGGCTTGATGCCACTACAAATCTCTCTATCTATACCGGGCTCCAATATCCTCAGTTAAGTCCTCGCGGCACCCGAGGTTCACAGACAATAGACGCAGAAATTCAATAGTCACGAGGTGCAACGGGTGGTGCATCCTGAGCACGGTACTTATTGTAGTAGTGTGAAGATCCACGCTACGTGATAGCCAACGCCACTTTTCCATAGCTTGTCTGTGAGCATTACTCTGAATTTCATCCACCAGATAAGATACTCCTTGAGCAATCATAGTGCTCGATTATTGGTGCTTTTATTGGCGGCCATATAGCCATACCTCTTAGAGTACACGGTTTGCCGTATTTAACTCGGAGTTCAAAAGACCTTTTACCAGTCTCCAAGATGTCAATACGATTTTTTTTCATAACGTGCAATGAATACAAAATTACTTTAAAGGGGTGGGGTTTACTTCTCGCTCAAATTTGGCCCATATTCTGGCTTCACCTTTTTATTAGAATGACATTCATTCGAGACATTGTGCAAGATTCGCCTATTATTCCACATTAATGGGGAACCCACTTTTCAGGAAACTACCCTCCGAAACTGAGAAATTATATGAAATCATAGTTTTTATCTAACTGCTTAGGTACTGCAATATCAAAGTGATAGTGCACTCAGCAACCATAGGAATCACACTCGAGTTTTGATTCGCTTGTTTTAACTGGCGTTGGTTACGCAATACAATTATACATATTGGGGATTTAGTACTCAGGAGGATGCATCAATGGTAGTTTAGGATGCTTTGTGACCCTATTTCTCTTCTAATTACTAGTCTTTTCAAGAGTAGGAATCTGTGCAGGGTTTTTACCTTGACTGTTTAGGTAGAAACGTGGTCTCGGTGTTTAATTTGGGTGTTCCGTATTAGTCACATTACTCTGAGATCTATCTCGTGCAGTTTACAACTTTTTAAAGTTCTGTTTCCGAGAAACAGAAACTTTTGAGTTATTATTAACCTTTGAAATTGAGCCTCTACTAGTCGTTTTCGTAGCTAAAATGTAAGCATTTGTAGTAACACTATTACTGTGAATATTAATAAAATGTGGAAAGTGAAACAATTTGGAGAGAATTGCACGAGATGTGACTTTCTAAAAAATAACATCAAAAAGTAAGCGACTGTATGCTACAGAAATGTAAAGCCTGACACAAACTTGCAACCTTATCTTCGACCACTCTAGCAAGCACCTTTGATAGCGAGTTCAAAGGTCTTTGATTCGGGTCGTGAGTGTGGGACTGTGGATATACACTGCCGAGGAGTCCCATACCAGCACAAAACGGTCGTCCTGCGGTTCTGGGTTGTCACGAGTGGTTTTAATCCGTTTGTTCCGTGATCATAAATAAATGACTCAACAATCAACTGTTCAAACAAAATAGATCAACAGACGTACGAATAACACGTAAACGATGATGATGAGAGTAGGGATGAGTAAAACTA